TTTTAATGCAAAGATTGTGTGTAAAGTTTATGGCCCGAAAATCAGTTCCCAAAGTGTGTTTTTCGTTATGTGCATGCTGAACTGTATAATAAAATGAATAAATACATTTTCAAAAATAGGGTGCAAATGTAATATAGACTTTTCTAATAATTGTTTATTGGTTTGATAAGAGTGAATATCACATAAGCATAGTCATCATGGGTAGGGTAAATAATAATCTACAAAGGAAAAAATGGGGGCTCTCTTGGTCTAGAGGTGTTGGCCTCTCATTCAAATGTCCCGGGTTCGAATCCGGGAAGCGACCGAAAGATTTTGTTCGCTAAAATTGTTCCCTTTCACCTCCTTTCCTGCCCTCTAGCAAGGTTCTGTCGTCTGCTTTCGTCTCCTCTTTCTGCCCCTCCCCCCTCACCTCCTTTGCCCCCTCCTCTGGGCTCTTGACTCTTTCTGCAGCCTTTCTACTGTTTCTCTTTGGCTCCTTCTTACTGCTGACTTCCAGCCACACCCCTGATCTTCTAGTAGGAAAGATCTACACCTCGCCTTCTCGGACAAGGGCGAAAAATTTCGGAGTTGCAAGTTGCGCACGTTAAAGATCCCTTGGTGGTCTAAAATCGATTTTAAAAATAGGCTTCGGCCGCCACCTGAGCAAAAACTCAAAATTTTCTACCAACTGAAAAAGTTTAATGTGTCCTGCGCGCTCATATGATCTTATGCAGTTACAAGTGCCGTAAAACACTTACCAAAAATACGGGGAGAGATCTCCTAGTAAAAGGTGAGCCAACACTTGTCTTGCGGAGGCTATCTGCTCTTGATAATAATAACATTGATAAATAAATCAGAAGCACGGCAACCACTAAGAAAAGGAGACACGGGAAATATCTATGTTAAAGCAGCACCATTCAATTTTGCCTTACATTTTCAGAACGAATCCACAACTGTAGACTGAATCTTGTTTTGACAAATGCGAGAGCCAGGAAAGTGCCAGTTTTCAATATTTACAGGGGCATCTCTTTGTTAAGCCACACTGGGAAAACGTAAGCAAAGATCTTAGCTAGAACAGTAGATACGACCTATTGTAGAGAAAAACCTGAGCAAAGCTCAGTTTGGATTCTGAGAGGGGAGAGATTGCATGGATGCTATATTCGCATTACGACAGCTATGCGAGAAAACCATCGAACACAGCAAATAATAGAACATTGTCTTTATAGACCAGGAGAAGACTTTTGACTGAGTGGATCATGCAAAACTGGAAGACGTTCGAAAAGTATGGCGTCAAAGGACAATTGGTAGATAATGTCAGAGCTCTATATGGTCGCTTTTAAACACAAGGGGGTTATCCCGAAAAATGCTGTTTTTAGGAAATCGAAGGTAAAGTTTTTGGACCCTTGTTCAGTTTTTTAAAAAGACAAGGTGAGTTTTCTCTATAACCAAACAAATATACACACCAATGAAACCAAACTTCTCCTATAGGTAGGGCAATGCTCACTTTTGGAGTATGTCAAGATTTCTTGAGACTTCCGAAATCCGGGTTATCCCGCTTGTCCTTAAAAGCAACCATATACCAACAGCAGACGCTTAGTAAGAACAAAGGAAGGCAATGCAGACTGGTTCAAAATAAGATCTGGAGTACAAAAGGGATGCATTTTTTTCTCCCTTCCTGTTTAAAATCTTTGTGGACACAATAATGCAAGACGTAAACCAAAGACCAAAAAGCCTAAAAGAACTTTTAATACTTCTATTTGCTGACGACCTGTGTCACGACGTGGTGGAATCAGGCGCTCGTCAGTTTGGGGGCATGTGGAGTTATTGGTATCCTCTGAAAGCTGATTTATTTGCCTTGCTTCTAATGAAATAAGTATCCATTTATCTTGAATAAAACTCCTGATGTTTGCAATTGAACGAAGTGAGGTCGCCTGGTTTCATTGAAGAAATTAGCGAGAAAATTGTCGCCAAAGTTTGGAAATTCCAATAGCTAAATAGTCTTTTTAAAAATTGACATATTTTGCGCATTTTATCAATGTTTTTCTGTAAAATTCACATGTAAATATGTTTTTATATGGAGATGTAAGATCTTAAGCTAAAAAATAAAATTTCGATAAAAATTTACAAGCTGGAGGGAAAATGCGCTGCTTCTGCAATTTCGTTATTTTGACGAGCGCCTGATTTCACCACGCTGCCTCACACAATGTCTTATTCATCCAAACCAACAAAGCTTCCAGAATCACAATATAATGAACGGAACAACAGTTGCAAAAAAATTGAAACAAAAATAAGCACATCAGAAACAGAAGTTAGGAAAGTGAGCCGCAACCATAGTTCCATGATTTTCCACGTCAATAGTAAACAACTGAAACAGATGAAGGGGTTTAAATAGATTGGCAACACTTTTTCTGAAATCGGATCCATAGACAGAGAAATGCGACATCAAAAAGCCAACGCTGTCCCCTACCAGCTCGCACCTCTCCTATCTCATCACAAAGCAGCTCCATGTACACAAAGAGACAACTTATTACTTCAATATTTATACCAACATTATGCGGTATTTATCTTTGTCGAGATAACAACAGATAACAACTGATAACAACTGATAACAACAAATAACAACTGATAACAGCAAATAACAACAGACAACAACAAAATAACAAATATCAACACAAACGTCCTAATTTAGTGTGTTTTTCCCGATGAATTGGTGGGGTACTTATTTTTGTCGAGTTAACAACAAATAACAACTGATAACAACTGGTAACAATAAAATAACGACAAATATCAACACAAGCATCCTAATTTAGTTACTTTTACTTCGTTTTTAAGATAGTCAGTTGTTATTTGTTGTCAGCATAACTATACCATTCGAATCTGTTATATTATCTCAAATCCTCAAAATACAAAGACATTCAGTGTTGCCAAGTGGCAGTGTTACTCTAGATTTGTTTAAATACATGTTTACTAGGATTTTTTTTTTTTATCACAAAAAAATTAATTTGAAAATGACTTTAGAATGACGATTTAGGTAGAAGTTCAACTGGAATAAAGTTGAACCGAGTCTGCCCACCATGTTTTTATTTATTTTTTTATTTATTTTTTTCAAATCTTGCCTTACCCTAACACTAGACGATGTTAGGCTACACCCCGAGGTCCACCTATCCACTTTCGAAGAAAATACACATTTATTGATAAGTTCAGAACGGGTAATTCAGACATGTATCAACGGCACGAGATTTTGACTGCAGATTCATAGAAACAGAAAAAGACCTTACTTAAATTGATTCTAGATTCATTACATATTACAGGTCCTGCTGTGATGGAAGATGGATGTGAAGAGGACTGCTTTTTTCTATAATATTATATACGGCCTAAATAAGGTCAGGTGGGGAGGGGGGGGCGAGCTATAGGCTATATGTGGCCTAAATAAGGTAAATGAAGGTGGTTTAGCTTATCTAGGCTATATGTGGCCTAAATAAGGTCACCCTATTTGGTATTCATTTGACCCCCTTCACCCTATGATCTAGATACCCAGTTGTGAACACTTGTATACGTGAGGCAGAGACTGTTCTTCAAGATTCAGTGAGGTTTTGACGGGTACAGACTTACTACCATACCGCTGGTAAACAATAATATAGAAAATATTGTTAAAATAATTAATTTCATACCATTCTGACAAATATCTTGCATCATGAAAACCTTTTACTATATTTAGCTTTTTGAGTCTGTTAGTCAAGGCGAGCAAGGGTTGGTTTAATTTGAATAAATAGAAGTGCATCCACTATCCACCCGACAAAGATCCTTTAGCTCGGGGAAAAGGCAAAACAGACAGATAGAAACAACAAACAGCAGTAGACCTTACAGTAGCATTCTCCAAACATCTACTGAAAAAAGATAAGCATCAAGAGACACAACCACAGTGTAGAGTTTAAATGCACCTCTCAATTTCTAGGGTTATGTAAGTTTAAGTGGTATGACCCCCTTATTCAACATCCATCTCCTGTAGAACCGAGACAGGTGGACAGCCTCGAAATCTCCTCAAACAGAACAAGTACAAGAATGCCCCACTAGGGATTCTAACAGGGCTCATGCGCACCATAGCCCAGCATGAAATCAACTGAGCTTAAGACACACCCATGACACAACTAAGAAATATAAAGAAATACACTACAACTTCAACAAATCAATATGTTAAATAGTACGCCTGTAAAAAAGAAGACATGACAAGTACATAAAGATTCGTTGCCTGCACCACGTCCTTCTGTCCAATTTTCATGGCCCTCGCATCATTGTGGTCATAAGTGCCCTGAAATTCCTGCAAATCTTGCCCCCCAAAATACATAAATAAAAGTCATCAAAACATGCACGTGGTGAGATCCATTGTCTTTTAGTCTTTCTATATTACTTTTAGGAAGCAACATATCATACACACAAAAAGAGCAGGAACAAAGATTGCATAGAACTTCTATTCAAGAATATATTTTTAAAATGTACATACTTTATGTCCCCATCAACACAATTCAGATCATCCAGAAACTCACGGAGCCAACCCAAGCTGAGAGCAATACAACATCCCAGCAGAAAGACCGAGATACTTTATACTACAAATTCAGGAACTAAACTCAGGCCATCCATGTGCGACGACAAAGTAATTTCAGTGAGAACTCTGGGGTCACATAACGTGGCTATTGGTGATCAGAGATAAACAAGGTCACACAGATTTTGCTTGTTGATACACATATCTCTCCATTAGCAAGCTGTTCTCCCTCACGAAGTCAGGGCCTGCAAACCCATTTCAGTGTTGTACATCCATTTTCATTATCACCAAAAATCAAATTATACAGATATCAGTCTATATTATGTTGCCTCTTTTCCTTTGATACACGGGAAACGAAACGGCAGGAATCTGCAAACATGCACATTTTAATCATGGTAATTATACATAGATGAGCTATCCAACCTGTATAAATATAAACTGACAGCTGTTAACGCCCCAATTATTACTCGTGTTTTCGAACCAGCACACAGTCAACACCGCTCAAGATACATTATGAAGGTCCTACTCTCTACACTGACCCTCATCATGATGATAGGCTTTAGTCACCAACAGATATGTAGGCGAAGGAACAGGGAATGTCAGGTAAACTTACACATAGAAAAAAATGGAACAACATTGTACTCTTTGTTCATTACAGCAAGCTAAACCTAATGATTTTACCACCATAAAGATATCTAATATTTTAGCTAAGGGTCTTGAAAGTTTATTCAGGCCCAATTTGTTGCAATTTTTTCTTAAATTATTTTTAAAAATTTATGGGAGAGGGGGGGGGGGGAAAAAGAACAGACAAGTGCCAGTTCTAACTGGTCTGGGGGGGGGGTGACAACGTTCTCCGATTACAAATGCTTTGTATGATTCACCTCGCTTCATTTTGCTGAAATCTGCATTCATGTAATGAAATTGCTAGGCACATGGGTATAACAAACCATCTAGACATCAGTATTTCAATAACAGGTTTTGAGGAATCAGGACAGGAACGTTAAAGGGACAAAAAAAGAAAGCCCAGATTTCATGTTCAACCATAAACTATTCTAAAAAATTAAGTTCTCTGAAACTGCGAGGCCCTTTGAATTACAAAACTGACTCTTTTCCTTCTAAAACATGGAACCAATCTTTAATGTCAGTGGCGCCGCCCAACAACCTTCAGATATGCCGACAACATATGTTTAATTGCACATTCAGAAAAGGGCCTTCCATTGTTTCGAAATATTTGTGGGATGGAAAGATAAAATAAGAGGTTATTTTTAAATGCTCAGAAACTAAAACTGTAAGTCCGATTTGTAATCTTGTAAGCAAAGGTGAAAAAATTCAGCACATAAAACATTTCAGATGTCAAGGTTTTACAGTATATCATGACATTCAATGCTATGTGTACCCCGGAAATAAAACAGAAAAATTGCAATGGCTAAAGATAGGTTTTTTATCATCTCACTGAAGACCAAAAGAAGAGTTTTAAAAGGCAGTGTGTGGCCAACCCCTCTCTGTGGCTGTGCAGCTGTGAATGCTGACCAAAGACAGACACAATACTTAAAGAAAAAAAAGAGTGTTTGCATAAGAGACCATTGGAGGGAAAAGAAATCAAATAAGATAGCGTGAAGGAAGCATGAAGGGGTGCTCACTAATAAAAACAATAAGAAAAAGACAAATACAGTGTCTGGACATTCGAATAAAGGCCTCCAACACCTTGTTCTAACTGGAAACACTGAAGGCAAAAATATACCGGGCAAGACCAGGAACTTATGTTTTTGTTTTTGTAAAGTGTTTTACGGCGCTCGCAACTGCATAACTGAGCGCGCGGGACACACCTTATGTTTTCAGTTGATTGGAAATTTTGAATTTTGCCCGGGTGGCGGCCGAAGCCTACTCTTATCGATTTTAGACCACCAAGGGATCTTTAACGTGCGCAACTTGCACACGGGCCCTCCGGGATTTTTCGCCCTTGTCCGAGAAGGCTAGGTGTAGATCTTTCCTACCAGAAGATCAGGGGTGTGGCAGAAAGACAGCTGTAAGAAGGAGTCAAGGAGTAGCAGTAGAAAGGCTGCAGAAAGAGACAGGAGCCCAGAGGAGGGGGCAAAGGAGGTGAGGGGGTGGGGGTAGAAAGTGGAATTGAAAGCAGACAACAGAACATTGCTAGAGAGCAAGAAAGGACTAGAAAGGAGACAAATTTAGAGAAGAAAATTTTTCGGTCGCTACCCGGATTCAAACCCGGGACCTTTAAATGAGAGGCCAACATCTTAACCTCTAGGCCACGAAAGCCCTTTCCAGGAACTTAGGAAAACGAACTGATGGGTGACAGGGACTGATCAGGAAAGAGTTAGTTTTTATAGAGCATCAGAGCAGAGAAATAAGTGGCAAGCCATGACTGTCCATGTTTGTTTCCGATTTGCCACTTCATGAGGATTATAAGACTGTTACGGATAAAAAAAACCCAGCAGATGCAAATACCCAATTCCTACTTGAATGGGGTTAGGAAAAAACATGTAAAGAGTCTTTCCCAAGAATTTATCTCTTCCAGAGCAGCCAACAATCAAACAGCTTGTTTGAGTTAAAGAGAAGGCGATAATCCAGCACAGAAGAAGCAGGATAGACAGACCAACAACACACAGATAGTGCACAAATACGCCCTACATGTGGCACCCTTAAACCACTCACTGTGATAATGTTCTGCCCTCTAACTCAAACAAATAACATGTTGCCTTCACTATTCAGGTTGGGAGAAACCAGTGCTGCGACAACTTGGTCTGCAGGCAAAAGAATCTGGGATCTTCTAGAACAACATGTCAGTTGAGAGATACAGTAGGCCAATGCAGGGCAGAAGACCAGGCATGCGACACAGACCTCAACTCCAGATGTTGCGCAGGTAACTTGGTTATTGTTGTCCTGGTAACTAATCACACTGTCTCAACAGACGTTTGCCTGATTAATTAAGTTCTAAGCCCTTTTAGCACAGTGTAACGTTTCCATGAAAAAGAACAGAGGAAACTTCAGGAATTGTGTTTGGTTATTCTGAGAACCATCCAATGAAAAGAAGTTGGTGATTGTACAGGTTTAACTCAACTTTCAACGCAGTAAGGTTATTGAAGAGATACTAAAGTGGAAAAGAATACTTTTCATCTATCTACGTTTATCTCGGCTAAAAGTTTTAGTAAAACGTGCTTGTTATTAGGGACATTACTGAGCTCTGTTTTACAATGATTATGGGAGATTCTGAGTCAATACGTTCAGATGGGCATAAAAGCAAGCCTGGTTTATAATAATATATATGGTTGGATCAGTCTTTTCTGTGATTTCCAGTGAGTGTGAAATACATCTTCCACCTCAAACAAAGGTAAAAGTATAGATGTATGCAGTGTCGAAGTTTTGCCTCTCAAAAATAATATTTGATACATGAGACACACTGCCCGAAGTCACCCCTCTTTGTCCGAAGTTTCCCTCACGTTTATCCGATATCTTCCGCAAAGTGGGGTGGTTTCGGACATCTTAATGGTATATCTGATAGAACACTGGCGGTAAAACCTGATGGTGCAAGAAGCTGATATCGCAAGTGGCGATGCTCAAATGGCTTACAATAATGGTGAAACGTCTTTAGGGGGAGGGGGGGCCTGAAGCACGCAGCAGAACCAAATGTAAAAAATGTCCGAAGCCTACCCGCTCTCCCCCATATTGTCTACAAAAGGAAATCCTTTTTTAATCTTTGCTTTAAATAAAGGATATAAAATGTCACATGTTTTTACGTAGCGCAGTTCCCAACCTGTCCCCGTCGTATTGTGCAAAAGAAATTCTGAAATTATACAAACTGAGCCCAAAAATGTGAAATTATGCGATTCTGTTAATTTTAACAAAGAATGATAAAGGAAAATAATCAGAAATTATGAAAAAAATTATAACAACCCAAAAATGTGAAATTATGCGATTCTGTTAATTTTAACAAAGAATGATAAAGGAAAATAATCAGAAATTATGAAAAAAATTATAACAATTTTGCTAAATTTGGCGAGTGCATAAAACCACGGGGACAGCCGAACCCCCACCCCCCCCCCCCCCCCCCAAAAAAAAATAACCAGGTAATTTGAACATTCAAGATGTAAAGAAGAGACAGGCCAAGCAATAACACCCCCCCCCCCCCAACCAACGCTTGCTAGGTAGGCCTACACCCATCAAAAAGTAAAGTTTTCCCTTTCCTTCTCGGCAGGTTTGGTATGCGAGAGAAACACTTTGGGTGTTAACAGATGCAGACAGATCGGCCTATGTAAAACCGTCGGCGATTCCTGTACTCCTGGCCTAACGAGTGAGTGCTGCTCTGAACTGACCTGTCAGCAGAAGCGAGGAGCCACCCTGGGGTACGAGTGCCAACCCAACTGTAAGGGAAGTAACGAGAAGTGTACGATTGGCGTCAACAACTGCTGCCCCCCTTATAGGTGCAAGCAAAAGGGCGGACTAGCCGGAACTGTGTGTCTTCTCTAAACAGCAAAAGCCCTGACAAACCCAACTGTCGTCAAGAAAATCCAGTAGGAGGCCCCTGAGTCAAATGGAAGTGATGACTGATGAAAGCATCGGCTGCATGGGACAGGATTTCCTGTCTAACAGAAACCTTTAGAAGATCTACTGACCAGTTGAATAAAGAAATTTATTGTAAAAATGATCAGATTTCTTTGCCTTGAAGCTTGTTTACTTACATTGGTTTCTTCTAGTACAAGAAAGGAGTAGAACAATGACACAAAAATGGTCATTTAATGCAAGAGAGAGCAAGACAGACAAAACAAAACAAAGCAAAAACACTAGCTGCGACACTTGCACTTTTATTTCTCTTCCCAGGCTACCATCCTTGTGATTGGCTGCTCACATCCGATGGCTACACCCACATTGATTAATTATACAACCTTGAAAAAAATATGAGGTAGATTGTTTAATGTCATAATCAAATCAGTCGCATTATTATGCCAAAAATGGTTGTTTTTGCCCTTCAAAGTCCAAGGAGAAAATGGATGGTGATCGATGAGGCCAAGAATATGCACAATCCTACAGACGGTCATTACTTTGCTCACGTGGAGATGTCTAGATGGTCTTGGGAGGAGCTGTTATAATGGGGTTGTGCAGTGTTTGTGTACTATAAAACGTGGGGAGTATGGCGGGGCTCAGATGTACATGTAAATGGGGGCGCACTGGCCATACCGTTGTATGAAAGAAGGCCCACATGTTTGACATGCCTGAAACCTCTGTCGTGAGTTGTAGTACTATATTACCACTTGAGACCAAATGACTCACCCATCACAACAACCCTCCCCCCACCCTTTTTTCCACAAATTACCAAAAAATGGATGACATGGTTCAAAGGGCTGGACTCTGCAAAAGATGAAGCATTAGTCGCTTCTACGGACAAGCGGGCTCTGACCCGCATTTCGGGGGTTTCCAGAAATCCAATAGGAGAAGTATGATTTCATTGGTGTGTATATTTGTTTGGTTATAGAGAAAACTATCCTTGTTTTTTAATAAACTGAAGGAGGGGGGAAAATTTCACCTTCAATTATCTCATAACAGCATTTTTTCGGGATAGCCCGTTGTGCTTAAAAGCGACCAATTAACAGTATGAAAGGTCAACTCCGACAATAGTTTAGTTTGAGTAGAGAAGCACACTATCACTAACACAAAAAAAAACACTTTCATGTTTCGTAGGGACAGAAAAACATCAGCAAAATCAAGAGGAAAAGTAAAAAAACCAACCTCCCAGCGGTGCTCTACAACGACCCAACAGTGTACAAAGAGCGGAAGGATACATACCTGTCCTACAGAAGATGAAGATGCTGAGCTAGTTTTAATTTGTGAATCCAGCTTTCGATCCCACTTTAGAACCATCGGTCAACCCAGTTCTTTCAATCCATATTACATGATTTATTAAAACAATTTAATATACTACAGTCTAGCAAGCACATAAAAAAATCAGCACAGCGTGGAAATCTTTTCGTTATGTATGGATCTCACTTTTTTAATCTTTGTTTTTTGTGTTTTTTTTTTGTTTGTTTTTTGTTTGTTTGTTTGTTTTTTTTGTTTTGGTTAGTGCTTTACAGCGCTCGCAAGTGCATCAGGTCATATGAGCGCCCGGGACGAATTAAACATTTTCAGTTGGTAACAAATGTTGAATTTTGCTCGGGTGGCGGCCAAAGCCTACTCTTATCGATTTTAGACCACCAAGGGATCTTTAACAGCTTGCACACGGGGCCTCCGAGATTTTAAGCCCTTATCCGAGAAGGCAAGGTGTAGATCTTACTTACCATAAGATCAGTGATGTGGCTGAAAGACAGCAATAAGAGGGAACCAAGGAGTAGCAGTAGAAAGGCTGCAGAAAGCGTTATGAGCTCGGAGGAGGGGGCAAAGAAGGTGTTGGGGTGGGGGCAGAAAGTGGAGACGAATGCAGTCGATAGAACATTGTAAGAGAGCAGGAAAGTAGGTGAAAGTGAAAGGAGAAAATGTTCCGCCGCTGTCCGGATTCGAACACCGTAACCTCTCGAACACGAGAGTCCCATGGATCTCAGGGTACGTCCAGGGAGGTAAACACAGTTGTACACTTGGGTAAAAGTTACCATGCCACCCCAACTTGTGAGTTGGGTTCATTGACATTGTCTTGTAGATTTGGGTTATATACAGTTAAACCTCGTTATAACTTATACCGCCTACCTTGGGACGAGCATGAAGTTGGCAGTACAGCGGGGCTGGCGGTACAACGAAGTTTTCATGTCCTCTGTTAAATACATGTAGCATCGACTGCCCTACGTCAAAAGAACTTGTTTACCAACCATTAGATTAATTACTTGGAATTACCTGGATCCAGAGCTAGAATCAGAGCAAGCGGCACATGCCCATAACTGCTCATCTCTTCTTTCCAGCGTCCACCTCAGGGTCTTCCTGTTAATTGTCTAAATGAGGAGCTGGTTTGAGACACGCCTGACCACTCCTCGGAGCAAACTTTTTTCCCTGTGACCCGCACACACTTTTCTTCTATTGTGCTGAGTGTGTGGGAGTCTGTCTCCTCTTGGTCGTAAAGACTCTCCTTGCATCTGGCGAACACTATTGGTGGGTCGAGCATGATTCGGCCACTGGATGCTGATTTGCCTGCATGTTCATCAGCACGCTCATTTCCGTGCACCCCTGCGTGACCAGGGCAGAACACCCATGTAATCCTTAGGAGGTGGCTATTTGCAATGGAAGCTCTCCAGTCACTGTAGAGCCACCCATTGCTGATTTTTTCTAGGGTGCTCGTCGAATCTGTGACGAACAGGGCATGTTTATACGCTTCCATACCAGCGCCTCTGTTTTAATCTTTGGCGCACTTGATTTCCTATTTTCGGATGTAATGGATGATGATTGTCTGCTCTTACTCGTAGGTAGGCCTTGACTTGTGCTAGCTTGTGTCGGTGGGTTAAGGTTGGCAGGTCCAGCAGATATCTCGTCACGGGTGCATCCCAGAACAGCTCTCATTCCTTCATTTTGAATTACTTTGAGGTGTTGTAGCTGGGGTTTGGATAGGGTGAGCATACCAAGGCCATAGTCCACTACAGACAGTACAACCGCTTGAAGCATGATCATAAGGGCGCGTTGGGACATAGGTGGAGCCATCACTCTCAGTGCAACTAGTCCTTTCCTTGCTCTGGTGATAATGTTAGTCACATGGTCTTTTGCCGAGAGAGTGCGATCAAAGGTAATGCCCAGGTACTTCAATTTCTCTTCCCTTTCCAACTGCGTACCCTGTATATTTATATTAACAGAAGGCATGATAGCCTTGACTGCCCTGTTGTTGAGACTGGTCCACAGTACCCCTGCCTTCGCTGGATTAAGTTTTCCATTGTTATGTTCGCACCATTCACCAATTCGATCTAATTCCTCCCGCATGCTCCTTGCAATCAGCTCCCGATCTCTCCCCTGCCTATATACTAATATATCATCTGCAAAGCTTAGCCTACAGCCAGGTCCCTCCAATTGATTGGCTGTAAGACTGATGGTGTATATATATATATATTGAACAAGACTGGTGACTGGACCGATCCCTGCGGCAGTCCTGGGGTTATGGCAATATGTTCAGAAGCGCAGCTGCCGAGGCGCAAGGAAACCTTTCTTTTTAACAAGGCATTTCCTACCCAGATCACCAATTCAGAGTCGATTTTCATATTGATCATAGTTCGCATGATTAGGCGAAAAGGCACCCGGTTATATGCATCTTCTATATCTATTGTGGCGACTACAGTCTCTTTTCCCTCCTCAAAACCGTCGTACATGTAGGAGGCCAAAATTGCCACATTCCTCCAGGTGTCCTTACCAGGGCGGTAGCTGCCAAGTTCCACAGGTATCAGATTATTACGTTCCAAGAAATTGGACAGCCATCTTGACACCATTTTTTCCATTAGTTACCCCATCGTCTTTTGCATTGTTATAATCCTGTAGGACTCGATTCTTGTGGGGTCCTTCCCTGGCTTTGGTAGGGGTGTAAGATAACTGTCCAGTCAATCTTGTGGAATCAACCCGTCATGCAAACTATTATCCAGGATGTTTCCGAGACTCTCCAACTTGCGGTCATCCAGAGCCTTGTTGTGCGAATAATGCACCCCGTCTGGACCTGGTGCTGTGTCAGGTGCCGTCTTAAGTATATTTCGAATGGCCTCCAATGTGACTTTTACCTCCTTGCTTCCTCTCCTTCCCAGTATCTTCCTTCTACATCCCTTAGAATGCTCGTTCTTTCGTCCTTATTGTTCTGATTTGTTTGCCGCAGGTATCTGTTCAAAAGAGCCTGCCCTTTCTCCTCTTCCAATCTAACTCATGTACTGTCCTCTGTCTGAAAATCAGAAAGGCATGTTCTTGACTGCCAGTTGTTCATTGCCTTGTGAAACCTCCAAAACCTCTGTAGGGATCTGTTACCTGTAATACTCTGGCAAAAGTCTTCCCATTTCTTTTTTTTTTCCTGCTCTGCTGTTTCTTTAAAAGCCTTCGATGTCTTTTTTGCAGCTTCCTGGAGTTCTGGATTCATTCGATTCCTTTGAGCCGCTCTTAGTCCTTTCCTTTTAATAACCAAGCTCTCCTGTGTTTCCTCGTTCCACAATGGGGGTTTGGTCTTGTCCTTTCATTGGCTTTTATCTTCAGTGTTCTTGCGTAGCATGGTGATAATGTCAGTCTCCAAAAACGTGTATCTAAATGGTCTCTTCCTCTTTGGGCCACATTTCTCAAGAGTCTTTCTGACATAGACTCGGCACGGAAGATCGTCGCTTCCGTGACTGCTCAGAACGTCCCATCTAGCTTTAGCTGCCATCTGCACAGAAACTATAGCTAGGTATACTACAGCACTGTCTGTATCATTTTCCCTCTGTGCCATGCGGGTCATTCTCCGATTATTGACTATAGCTAGAATATAATATAGATCACACGAGTCTAGAGCATTTTCCAAATCAACTCCCTGTGCGTTGTCCTTGATATTACCCCATTGAATACCTCGGGCATTGAAATCTCCACAAAATAAAATCTGACCAGAGAGTGTTTGTCAAATGTTTTCTAACTTCCCCCATTCCTTTTCATCCTCAGATCCATTACAAGCATAAACATTTATGACATTCCGTACTGGCTGGTTCGTGAGTTCCACAGCGAGCAAGTGGAGATTCTCAGACTCCCAACAACCCATACATGTACTGACTCCTCTGCTCTCAATGTTGTTCTTCACAAGGGTTACCTGGCCGTGTCCTGTTCTGTTATAAAAGCCGAGTACCCTGCTAGTTTCAACGTTTTCAGTGCCTCTAATCTAGTTTCTTGTAGGCACACCACATCTGCTGTATATGCCAGCCGCTCTGCCACCACACATTAGATGAATTAATGCGTTATCTGTCTTCGATACGTCACTTCGACTTAGCGAGAGTCCCCAAAAAATAAAAGCTCCACACTCCACGTGCATTCACTAGCCTGTAAGAATTCTAGACTGATATCTGGGTCGCCGGGGTGTGTGTTAGCGGAGGGGGGGGGGGGGCAACTTAAAAATTTGATTCCAATTCTTTTTTTAAATATTCCCCAATGCCTAGATATAACAGTATTTTCATAATCAGCACATGACGCACGGAGCGAGCGAAATTTGATGCTGAATTACAAAGTTGTTTTATTTTAATTGTAGCCTGCTCTTCTACATTACACGTTGTACTGAGTTCGCTGGCGACACACTACATCACGGTAGATCTATCCATATATTGCTTGGAATCAACAGGAGCGGGGTGGGGAGGTGGGATGGGCAGAGAGTGAGCAAATCAGCGAAAAGCATTTATTGGTCTAGACCTTGGAACTTGGACTTGGAAAGGAAAGACGGCGCCATTATCAGACAGCCACCGGAACAATCAGTATGGATACCTTGTGGGCTTTGGTGCTGGGGGGAACTGAGCACGTATGGACCTGTCCAGTGTGCAATGGCGTTCTTGCCCAGGAAGGTAATACAGACCTTGGCCTAGCTCTTAGAGACTTATGTGAAAAAGACTGTCAAGCAACCACCGAGTGGATGTGCCGTAGGCCCTACACCATGTGTAGCTTTGTGTGTAGGCCTACCGTATAGATTTGAGATCTTTTTCTGGCGGCCAGTTCGCTGGCGGTACAACGAAGAAAATTTACAGTAGTTTAAAATTGTTCATTGTTCATTGTTTCAGGAAGCAACATCCCTGCACTCCGGACATGTCCATTGATGCTCCGTTGCTCTCTCCAAAATGGTGCCGAGGGTCCTTCCACTGATTGTGCCAGTGCACATCTGGATGAGAAGAAGGAGGAGAGGAAGGAGAGGAGGAGCCAGAAAAAGAAGGGCAGGGAAAAGGAGGAATCAGGGAAAAACAGTAGTTTGAAAAGGACCGTACAACTGAGACAGTTGTCGCAAGGGAGTGTAAAGGAGCAAATGCTATGTTTATATATAGGGAATTATTTTCGTACATTGGCAAAACCTGGCGGTACGCGGGACTGGCGTAACAATTTACAAAAAAGTTTGACTGAAAAATGTGCTACGATAAGCTGTTATCCTCAACTAAGAAGTACTTTCTGCTTCTTTTTCTCCGCCATGGTCCCCTCTTACCCTTTACTAAACCTCAGACCTGCCTACCTTCCCACAAGGTCCTGAAAAAGATGTCAGTTTTTTTCCCAGTTAATTCAGCTTTAAAAGAGGAAACATTATTTTCTTTCCTAAATAATGAATTAATTTGAAGTCTTTTGTTGAAGAATTAAAACAGGAAAACTGTGCTTCCCAGAAGTAGTTCTTCTTATACGGCAAAGACGACAGCAGTGGGTTCTTTTCAGGCTACTTTTTTTCCTTCCTGTTCCTACATTACTGCACTAGGGAACAATGTACCTTTGTGGCCGTAATCAGCCAAATGATAATTACATATATTATTATAGCTTTAACTTTAATTTCTCCAAATGTATGATGAGATTTTGCCACATCAATCTTGGATTACTTGGAATAAGTTAAAGCTTGAGGACTTTTGACTTGCACACAAGATCTCTGCTCGTATAGTGCCAATATCTGTCTTTGAAGAGTTGTAATTTTCCAGAGTTCAGGCTAGTCTTTGAAAAATTGGCAGATCTTAAGATTTCACCCTGACCTAATTTCACAGACTGCCAGCAAGTTGTGTACTGTGTGATGTCTGTTAAAGAGGAAGCGCACTGGGCACTGACACACACGTCAACAATAGATGCCTTCACATGACCGCAGACACCCTAAACACAACTGAAGTACATGTATGTGTAGGTAAGGCTAAACTAAATCTACCGCTGAACACTTGTGATGTATTATGATAAACATGTCATTAGCCTCCAGCTTAAAAGAGAGTTCGTTTGCCTACTATGCTCTCTCCCTCTCTCTCTCTCTCTTTTCCTCTCCCTCTCCCTCTTTCTGATGACAATTTTTTAAATACTGTGTGGGTGTTTTGAATACAAAGAATGTGGATAAAATTCAGGGCCCAAAAATCAGTTCCCGATGTGTGTTTTCGCTATATGCATGCTTATGCTAAACTGTAGGCCTATATTAAAATGAGCAAATACATAAAAATAAAGACGCAAATGGACAATTACTTTTCTGACAACTGTTTATTGGTTCGACATGAGTGAATATCACACAAGCACTGTAATCAAGGGTATGGGCAAGTCCCGATACACAAAGAAAAAAATGGGGACGTGATCTCCTAGCCAAAGGCGAGTCAACATTTGTCTTGCGGAGATTATCTGCTCTTGGTAACAATAACAATGATACATTAAACAGAAGCACAGCACCAACCTATAAACGATGCCACAAAAAATACCTTTGTTAAAGCAACACCATTCAAATTTTGTCTTATATTTTCAGAACGAATCCACTGAATTAAAAATTTAATCTTGGTTTGACAAATGTGAGAGCCTGAGAAGTACTAGTTTTCAATATTTTACCGAGTCTTGTTAAGCGACAGAATTATTACTCAGAACTGTGTGCTTTCATTTGAAACATTGCCAGTCCAAAGTACTCCTCCTAAAATAAAAACAAGAAAGACTCAGTGCTGTTCACTATCTAAAAAAAAAAATTTTTTTTTTTTTTAATTTTAAAATTATCTCAGCTGATGAGGCCATTCACATGGTCATAGAAAACACTGCAAAACGATACTAACTTAGTATAACCGACAAGCCCCCCCACCCCCCCCCCCAAAAAAAATGTATTTATACTGGGCAATTACTTCTGGGGCCAGCCCTTTCCACAGTATACAATACCCAGAATGTCACCAAGATGTGGTAGGATTTCAAAAACTTTGTAAAGAAAAGAAAAAACAAATGCAGTTGACATCACACACAAGAAGAAAACGGTTTCCCCCCCCCCCCCCCCCCCCACCAAATTCTTCAATTCAACATGTCAAACATTTACTGTACTACCATTGAGAGCAAGATCTGACAACCATGAGCATATCAAAATAATCTTGCAATGGAAAATTTTGTCCGAAATACCGACGTATACTTTTGGTGTACTGGCAATAAATATTTGGCTTTTTCTTTGCTCCTCTAGCAGACTCTCACTTAATAAGTGCACTTTTGTCACGCCAGTCCTGTCCCAAAGCAGGACGTTGAGGTTCACACACAATCATACACACAGTCACTATCACTATATCCTACTCAAAATAGCCCTCAGGAACACTCAACATCAACTGAATTTTAAAGCAGAGACATCCCCAACTTGCACATTTTGAATATGACCAGAACATGCCACAACTTTGAGGATACACATCCAAGCACACATCGTTACATTCTTTAACATACTCAATATTGCACTCTCAAACATGCATTCCGTATCTGTAACTTTTGAACCATGCAAAATTTGAACAGCATGTATGAACAGGCCACAATATTGTACACACACAGCATACATGTACATCCAAAAACAATATCATATATTCACATCTCCCTCTACTCAGAACAGTTTTTTTCCTGTCATGATGGGATCTCTTGCTCCCCATCAGGCACTAAGTTCTCCTGTAGGCAGTTGCATCCACAGCCAGTGGGACACACAGTCTGAGAGCTGAACCAGTCCATCATGTGATGCATGTGACCCCCATGGCCACAGGCAAGGCAAAAGTTGGCAGCACCTGCACACGTAGACAAAAGAACATTTCCATCATCATCATCATCATCAATTACATTATCATCATCTAATCTGTGTTTTCAAAAACAATTTGCAAAGACATTAGTGATCATTATCTTCATTGCCAAGGAGCTTCTCTTCAACAAGGAGCAAATTCAATGTTATTGTTATCATCATCAGCCCCATCATTAGCACATCAAAAAGACTGTTCCCAAATGTAAAAAAGGAAAACCAACTTACATCACAAGTAAAAAGGTGATGTTATTAGAAGTGATGAGAGAAGGAAGAAGATGCAAGTCTGGGGAGGGGTGGAGGGTAAGTTTTTTGTAGGACAAGGGCTACATTATTTTTTTCATCATCCATTAGATCAGTAAGATACTTATGAATTTAGTCCCGATCTTGCTCAAAAGATTTATTTTTTTTAACTACTGTCTGTGACTGTCCAGTTTCGTCCTGTTCAGACTACATTTTGAAAATGTCTTGAAAGACCAAACATGCAAAATGGAATTCATCAGTAGGCTAAGGGTATTATTGTAAACCATTGAGATTATATTGGAGGGGGGCACACTAATCTATACAACATTACTTAACAATTCACTTTTTTTTTTCTCGTTTAGTTTGAAGCCAGAGAAGTACAGTACAGTGACATAGTCATTTAGCACCAGGACAGAGCAAGACTGAGCAGGACAGAAACAACAGATGAAAAGTAAAGAGAAGTAGGACCTACAAAAGGTATGTTCTAACCTCACACAAATTACTTTTGTTCTTTTCCTATTTTACTTTTAGTAAGTCTTGTGGCACTTGCAAAGCCAAGTGCTGAAGATGAGAGGTGTTACTAGACGGTAACAAACAAAAGGAGGTTTAAAGGGGGGGAAAAAAAAAAATTATAATAATAGTAATAATAGTAGCCTATTTGTATAGCACAAATTCCCTCCCAACAGCAAGCTCTATACGCTTGACAATCTTTATTACTACCCCAGCAATCTCAACTTCCTGAGAAGCATAAAGTGCAAGCTGCCATTTTTAGGCATTAAAACACTAACGAACTGACAAGATCTTTCACAGTCTGTAGCGAGGTGCTCATTTCACCAGGAAATTTGTGTAAAAAGTGCCTTTTCCAAAGACACAATGCCAAACCTGGGGCTCGAATCCCCAGACCAACAACCTCCTCTCAATTACGAGTCCAATAGCCTGACCACTAGACTACCGACACCACTAAGAAGGACAACAGATGCCTGAAGGAGCAACCTCTTAAAAAAACAACCAATAACTGAATCCAGTAAAACATGCGCATGGAATGCTGCTGTGGTCTTACCTCTCACACCAATGTGGCAGATAGAACAGCGCAGAGCGGGGTATTTGCACCGCGTGCACTGGGGACCCTGAACATCTTCGTTACAATTGTGGCAGGAGACGACAAACTCTGTACAAATGAGAGAGCATCAGAAATACAGAAAACATCCGAAATAGAGAGAACATAAGAAATAGAAATAAATGTCCATGTTTCACACTCCCATCACCAATACATCAAAAATAACAAAAGTATGATACATCAAAGAAAACTAGCGTAGTCATGATCATATATTTATATTTATTTCAGCACAAAAGAAACTTGAGTAGCAACCTGTACAAGTAGATACTGCTTCAGCACCTTTGAATATAAAAGACACTTGCTTACAGTGGGTAGCCACAGAAGTTTTTCTATTAAGTGGAATTTGCAAGCAAACCTCAGGAAGAAAGTGCACCATACATACACAAGAAGTCTTTTTTCTTTGATCAACAGAAACAATGAAACAGTTTAGTTTTAGTAGAGGTTTTACAGCGCTCGCAACTGCATAAGGTCATATATAAGTGCCAAGGGGTGGGTGTCAGCAGAGAAGTCTTTACAGGGAATCAGGCTTACTCTGCTCACCTCTCTCGCTTCCACAGCACAACGTCTGTTTCGACTTTCAAGGCACCCTGGAAATAGCGGGTCACAAGAGTGTGACAAACATACAAAAGAAGTAGAGGCAAATGACGATAGTAAAGATTAGGAAAGAAAAAGCAGCAGTTCCTTGTTGCAGTTCAGGCACAGTTATGAGCACAACATTGAGGAATCAGCCCATTTACAATTTTCAATTCTACTGTGCATAAGAACATATTAATGTCCCCCCTTTGGGAATGGCCTAAAGACACTTCAGTCAGCAGCACCGTTCTGCGGGGTAAATGATGAAACAACATTCTGATCAATACCAAATGATCCTAATGCAAAGGACCTATCAGGGCCACCCTCAAACCACCCACTTTCATTTCGAGGCACTCACAGACAATAATATTCATGCCAGTTTACACAAACAAGTAACAAAAGATAACCCAGACAAGGGCTTTGCGGGAGGTTTATACATGTACATTGACAGCTCTGCAGATACGGTACCCAAATAGCCACTAATAGGAAATGGGCTTTCTGTCCTGTAAAATGATTTACAGAAATTTGAATGCTATGAATTGCACTCAAATTGTTACCAAACTTAACCCAGGGTCACAGTATTTTGACATCAATTCGAAAACGTCTTTTTGAAAATTCATGTCTGATTTGCAACAGTACAACTGGTGACAGAGAAGAAAACTTTTTTCTTGACAGAGATTCCAAATTCCAATAAAATGTGGTGTATGTTGAATCTTGACCAAAAACAAAAACAAGACACTGAGCAATGACCAACCTATGCCTCTTGATGGTGCCCCGGTGCTGTCTGTGTGTTTCAGAATCTGTATCCTCTTGTTGAGAAGATTCCACTTGTACAGCACATCTGCATAGGCCTTCTTGATCTGCTCATGTTGAAACTTCAGTTCTGGGTTCAACATTCTACAAACAAATGAACATAATACCAATTAAAATAGCAGTGGAAATTGTCTAAGACGGCCACCTATCTTCAAGGAGAAAAGTGGTTGTCTTAGGAGGAGCCTTACACTGTCATTATAGTTTTAAAAATTAGTAAATGGGAATTGGCTGTTAGTTCAGGTGATGGTCATACAGGTGGCCGCTAGAGCCAGTTTGACTGTATACTTTTCAATCAGTAGTATTGTTTCTCACTATTTAAAAAAAGCCAACAGAATGTATGACGTACTGGAAATCTTAAAATATGAAAGAGAAACATCAACTTTAAAGAAAATAAGGAGAGAAAAAAACCCAAAAACAAACAAACAAGGAACTTAGAAACAAAGAAGAAAAAAGACTGAAGAAAAAACAAAAGTAGAAAATGCAAGAGTAGACTTGTACAGCGTCGTGGTAAAATTAGGTGCTCATCAAAATAATATAATCGAAGAAATCAATATTTTTCAGCCCGTTTGGCAATTTTTATTAGGTTTTTTTTTTCGTTTTGGGCTCAACACTTTTCATTAATATATTCCTGCAGGGATTTTACAAAGAAACAATCAAAGGCAAAAAAAAAAATGTAAACTCGCATTTTCCAAAGACACTACAGCTTAAGGAGTCACGAGACTTTGGCAGCCATTTCCTCGACCAGATGGCCCCCATCCCCTTCAATCGCATATAGCTCAACTTATATTCAAGATAGATGGGTATCTTTTTCATCATAAGCAAGGCAAACAACCAGGCTTCAAGATTATACCAATAACTCTATTGAGCCAAAAATTGACAAGCACCTGATTCCTTCGTGATCGTGAATGTGTGCTAGATCTAGATTTAGACAGTACGTCCATTAACACCAAGACATTAGGCTGCTGTCCTGGGGAACGAGCTCAGCTGAAAATCAGCGCTGACAGTAGGAACGTATACCCCTTGGCAACGAAAGGGTTAATTTAGCTTTAAATTTTAATGCTGCATGAGTGGGTAGTGCAAAGCTTTAACACAATGATTGGGTGAATACATTTTCAAGTTTCTGTTGGATGCCACTGTATAAATGCAATTTACTGTTGTTATTGTTACCATTATTCGGGCTGCCAACTTCAAATTTCCTATTTCAGGTAGAATTAGAATCAGTTTCAGATATTTTGGCAAAAAAATCAAGTAATGCAGTCAAATCCCTTTATATCCCCTACCTTCGGATGAAAATGAAGTTGGCAGTATTGCGGGGCTGGCGGTGTAACGGGACAGCATCCATTGCCATCTTGACTAACGGTAAAGAATGGTAAAGACTAGAGACAAACCATGCGCATGGGAAAACAAGTAGCGACCAATTACATGTCCAGCTCCAGCTGAACTTTAAATAATTCAACATTTCTGCTAGATCAGAAGTTAACCTATATGTATCAAGGACCCTGTCTGTAGACGAACAATTTGTTTCACCCCAATACTCGTCAGTCATCGGGCCGCCTTAGACTTGTCATGTAACCTTGAGCACAAGTCCTCATAGTATATGCCTCACGAACATCGACCAGTCTTTTGGTTATAGGGCTGATGTCTGGCAATGCCAGATATTATGCCAATGGGCCATGGTGGCAGTTCCTTTGAAGTTTCTCCAGGTGGCTTTAAAATTTGATTCCAGTTCTTTTCTTTTAGATATTAGCCAAAACCTAGACATAAGAGCATCAGGAACAAATCAGCGACAAACACCTTAAGATAGGCCAACTCCGAGAGATGTCTGTGGGACAGAGATTATCAGGCAGCCACCAAGTGTATGCCCTGTGTTGTGTGTATAATAGTGTACCTCTGGTGGCCACTTCGCTGGCAGTACAGCAGGGCAAATTTACATTAATTTAGTAAGGACCGAACAATTCAGATAGTTGGTGTGAAGGCGCAAATACTATGTTTATATAAGCATTCTTTTTCGTACATTTGCAAAGCCTGACAAAAAGGAGGGCTGGCTGTATAATTGGGGGTGGTACAATGCGGTTTGATTGTACAAAGACAAAAGGAAAATAAAAGAGGAACATTACCCCGGCATATGTAGTTGCCATCAAGCTTCTAAAGTAAAATTATTATCATATATCGCTCAAAGCACAGATTCATTTCAACACAAACATAAAATCACGAACTCACTTGCTGTTATTGTGGTGTAAAATTCTTTCCTTCTCCACCTCTCTTTCCCTGGGATCCTTTTCTTCAAGAATCTTGATGTCATCATACGAGTTAGACCAGCTCAGAGATCGTTTGCTTTTCATCACAGCTAGACGACATTAAGAGGAAAGGCGAAATGAGTGCAAAAGCAGGAAAACAAGTCAGTGTAGTTCAAAGCATGTCACATCATAACCTTCCTTTGAACACAGTGAGCTATCAAACCCCAAATAAACTTATTGTCAGAATGCTCATTTATCCATGCATCAGAAAAATTATGCCAAGCTGGGGGAGAAAAAATACAATACAATATGTTTGCCTTGTTCACAATCCATTATAAATGGTAGACATCGTTTTGATAGTTTAAAACAAAATTTCCAACACAACTTTTTCAAACAAAGTGACAGCATTTGCAAAGCCTGACAAAAAGGAGGGCTGGCTGTATAACTGGGGGTGGTACAATGCGGTTTGATTGTACAAAGACAGAATTAAAATAAAAGAGGAACATTACCCTGGCATATGTAGTTACCATCAAGCTTCTAAAGTAAAATTATTATCATATATCGCTCAAAGCACAGAAAATAAAAACAAGCTTGAACGTAAATATCTTAAATAATACCAAATTATAAGTGCTTATAACGTGAGCTTCAAACAAACTGTAGCACAGCAAAGTGGTATTGGAGTAAGCTGAATATGATCAAAATGAAGAGTAAAAAGTAAACTAACAAAAACACACAGCAGCTATTATTCTCACCCAAAGTGTGAAGAACATAAAAGCTAAACATCAGGCTCTTTCAAAATGAGGAACAAAAGATGCAATCTTTGGGGGGTTGGGGGGGGGGGGGGGACAAAAAATCAGGCACAAAACACACACTAAATTAAATATACGGTACAGCAAAACAAAAGGTCCTTTAAGAGTACCTCAAAATCTTGGCAAAATAACATTACTCAGAATGATATGTTCTCTCTGGCATGCAGAAAAGAGGGTAAGTAAAACTACAAACAGCATTTATTCTGAACAAGTATATCCATTCTAATTTCAGTGTCTCAGGACACCAAACTCTTCTTCAAATGTTAGATCTGAAACAAGTATTGGTGACCAAGATCTGCCACTCATTTGTTTGAGTATAAAATTCATTAAAAGATTTGCAGCACTCATAACAATCACTCATTTCTTTGCATAGATGATGCTCTTCTTAGATTATAACAGTGGTTTCTTTCCAAGACTCCATTCTTTTCCCTCTTCCTCTCCCCCTCTCTCTCCTCTCTCTCTGTCCCTCTCCTCTCTCTCTGTCCCCCTCTCTCTCTCTCTCTCTCTCTTTCTCTCTCTCTCTCTCTCTCTCTGTGTGCACACATACACACACATCTGATGCACACAAACATTGTGTGAGTGTGTGTGAGTGTGTGTGTGTGTGTATAATATCAGTCAAAGCCGCTCTAAGGGCCACCTGTATAAGACAATCGCCTGTACAAACAGTCACTTCTCATTTACCCCCTTGCGTTGTTTTAATACTGAAATGACACAGTGTAAGACAGTCACCTGTCCAAGATGGCCACTTTTCTCCACAACAATGTATGACCATTTTAGACAATTTCTGACAATAAGGTTGTATAAATGCCAAACTTTAGAAGTGTTACAAGAGAGTAACAAACATAAAACAGAAGGAGGAGAGATCAGGACGATAGACGTTTGATAGGAATGAAGGAGCAAACCATAGCACAACACCCCCGCCAACCACCCACGTGTGTGAGTCTGGGGTTATACCTGCAGCACAAACAACAGGTTTCCACCATGAGACACTTATGGATGCTGTATACAGGCCAACATGTTAAAATGGGACATATAGTGGGTACAAACAATTAACAGCATGAAATTGTCAGTGGAACAAAACACACTATCTAATGAGCATAACTCTAGTGAACCTGACAGCAGCTTACTTAACGAACAACGAATAGAACCCCCTATAATTTCCCAAGCATCCCACTACTTCCCCCCCCCCATCTCTCGATTTCCCTTTCTTTATATGTTGAAGATTTTGACAATATTGAATTTACACTAAAAGTAAAACGTGTGTGGGCAGATCTGCATCAAAATTTTGACGTTTTTTTAAAAAGTGTATGGGCCCCTTAAAACAACTTTGTTGTAGCCGTAGAATTATTTCTTGCTGTATTTTCAAACTATTTGTTATTATGCTAACTTTGAACGATGGTCGTGAAAGAAAACAAAAAAACACAGAAAAACCACTAAATATAAACTTATCCACCAAGAAACGAGTGTTTCCACAAACCAACTCAAAACAGTGGAACAGATTCCATTACGCATATTTATGTACACCAATAATTGTCCATTTCAATCACAAAAATGTGAGATGCCCCTATTAGTGCCACCACTTTCGCCCCTTGCTTTTGCCCAACGTTCAGCCCCAGTCCTTCGTTTGATATTAAATAAAGATTGCTTCGGACTTTTTTGGCCTGTCTCTTTCCCCGCTCACCCCCCCCCCCTCAATATTCACAGGTATGTATGCACCTTTTGGTCCATAAGTTCTGAAAAGTGAATGACTTCCGAATCCTGGTCTGCATAGCGAGACCAATTTTGAGCAAAAGGAAAAGTATGCAAACTGAAGCAGTACCATCCCACTACTCATATGACAATGGATTTGTGACTTGCAACTCAATAAAATGCCACAAGTCATTAACGCACGCCACTAACATGTCCTACTTTTCTTTCCCTCTGTTATTTCTGTCTGACTCTCTGTCTTGCTTTTTCCCTGCATTCAGTGAGCATGTCGATTACTTCTCTTCGCTTAAGTTTTTTTCAAAAGTCATAGAATTCTCCATACAAGAAAATTGAGAAAAGCATGTGAAGACTTTTTTCTGTGATTATCTGGCGCCCTGTTCACAATCTAATATTCTACGTTGTCAACCTTTGAATCAAGCTTTTCTAGCATGCAAGACATATGACTAGGTCTAGAAATTAGAACAACAAACAATTAATATTTCAATCTGGTAAAGAATCAGGACTAGTAAAAGGAAAGGTTAAAAAATAAAATGGCTGACGCGGAGTCAGCAATTTACCTGTGTATTTGCCTGCCTTGGCACGGCCTTGGGTATAAAGAAAAAGGTTAACCAGACTTTTTAAATTCCCAATGCAAAAGTGCAGTTGCAAAATTTTTTTTTTAATTTATAAATAAATTCAAAAGAAAAGATATCTTCAAACTGATGTCAAAATCCTCTTAAATCAATTTGATACCAGTACTTGCACATATAATTAGATTCCTACAAATCTTTGGAACTGTAACTGAAGTTAAGCAAGGACCGATTTTAAAAAACCAAAACAAGTAGAACATTAAAAGCAAAAAGGAGGAAAAAAACATTTGTTTGTTCTAATTCAAATTAAAAGAAGAAAAAGAAAAAGAAAAAGAAAAAAAAGTCTTAAAAACTGTCTCGGTCATCAACAAGGTTTACTCAAACAGCTAAGAAAACAACAGGATAAAATAGTTCTATGTACCCTCAGCTTCCATACACACTGTATTGTATAAAATAATAATGGAAAGTTTAAGCAATCACAATAAATTGTACCAACATCAAAAAGATCATTTAGATAAGAAAACCCCAGAAAACCTACTCAGTTGACAGTAGTTGACTTAGTTCAAGTAGAAGTAATAAGAAATTCATGATACTGGCGGTCCAGTGATTCCATGGTTTTTGGGCAGCACTCAGCACTAAAGTATGGCACAATTTTGAGACCCACTAATTTTCAGTCTAGTCAATTTCCACAACATTTTTTTCCCATTGAAAAAAAAAAGAAAAAGAAATAACACTGGACTGCCACTCACATTGACTTGTGTTTATAAACACAAATCTAGGTAGACTGAAAACCACTCCACTTTATTGGGGCACAATATCAATCTGTCCTTAGTTAATGTCAAGGGTAGCGATATTTCGACAGCATGCCGTCTGAAAAACATAGTTGATATTTCCACGGCATGCTGTCTGAACATCGGAAGTGACACCTATACGGTATGCCGTCTTGAGTCTAAAGATCGGAATTTATATTTTGACGGCATAGGCTCTGCTTGAAGTGTATCAATGCTAGAATTGTGTTTGTTTTCCAGGCGACGAGTCGGGTGATCATACTTACCCGACCCGATCCCATCCACAAATGGGCACCCTACTGTTGGGGGAAAAAAAGTCTTCTCTCCATTTTGTGCATCTCTCACTCTCGTTAAAATCACATAAAAACATTTCATCATTGTCCATAATGCACAAAAGGATAGCAAAGGATAAACATTGTTAACTAAACATACGGGTATCTTAAATTGTATCTATAATAATGCGTTACTTATGGAAAAGAGATTATAGGCTTAGAATTATAAATAGTCCGGATGTTCTGATTGGCTGAATTTATGTGCCGTGGAATTATCACTTCCGATTTTCCGACGGCCTGCCGTATAAATATCCACTTCCTTTTGTCAAATACAACTGGACTGGCTTTACTGAGCTTTTACGTAGGTGGAAATATACTAGGACGAAATATTAAATGCATCATCACACACATTCACAAACCAACTTCTTTGCTTTCACTTCCAAATACGAGTAGTAACACCACGCACTTGGCCTCAAAGAGAAAGTCTTTGTGTGAAAAAAACATTAAGTGTTCAAATAAATGCTGCAGCAAGCTGCAAGGCCAAGAGAGTTACAGGCAGTGGAGAAAAGTTTGCAAGGAACAGGACAAGAACAACTACTACAAGGCGCAAAATGCCAGGAAAGACAGACTGGGGCAATTGAGTGCAATGCCAACAAGCATGACCAATTTGGCAAAAAGCAGCTTGTCGCTTACAATTCATGTGTAAACACATGGGTCCTTTAACTGATCGGTGCAAACAACACAGAGACAACTTCAACATGGCGATCTGGCAGTTGCAGACTGGGATGTTATATATTATAGATGTAACAGAATGGGGTGTTATATACAGAAAGCTGAGTGGAAAGAACACGAACGGTAGGACTTATGCGGTGGACATTCAGGTTGGCTTACAAACCTGCACGGAACAAAGCGGCCAGGTTAGGCTGTGAGGCCACCTCTCCCATACGGCCTTTACTTTTGGCCAAGCCGGCCGAGGCTGAACATGATGATGATGATGATGTCATGGGAGGGGGAGGTGGGAGCGTAGGAGGTGGCAACACTTGTTGTGGAGATAGGGGGGCTGGAGAGACCATGTGGAGGGGGCGAGGAGGAGTAGGAGCAGCCGAGGAGATGGGCTCAGCAACTACATGGCACATCATGAAAAAAAAAAGGGCAAATGCGGTTAGATTGCATAAGTAAGCAAGTTACGCTCAATGTCATACCTACTGAGACTGGAGAATTATAATATGTTTAAAATATTTGAATATACTGATTATTCCACCAAAAGATTTAATCATATGTTTTGAGACTGAGACTGAACAATCTACCACAACACTTTTTTTTATAACTATATTAATCTATTCATTATTTAACTAAACTGATAATAATGATATTTGTTGAGGGTAAAACTGTACTGGTATGACATTCAAGGGTTTTTTTTCTTCATTTGGAACCATCCAAATGGAGTATCCTTATAAAGGGGGTCTATACCAAACTTTTTTAAAAATCCAATAAAACATGACTGAAAATAAATGTACCGGTAACCTTAAAAAGGAAAATATTATGGCACTAAGTGACAATTAGTATATAGTTGAACTCAGATTAAACTAATTCAGATTCAACAATAATTCGAGTTCAACAAAAGGAGTTGGATTTCCGGGTTTTTTCCTATTTATAAAAATCAATAAAAATATCATATAAAATGAGCAAGCTCGGATTCAACGAAGTCGCTTGAAGGGTGAGCAGCTCCCGCTGACATAGCTTTGCTCATTTTTCTCCTGCAACAAGCGTATCTATTTTTAAATCCGAATTCCACTGTATGTATCTTTATAGTTTGACATGAAAATGTCAGTCTCAATATATACAAATGAATATGCACTATGTATGAGTATGAAAGAGAGAACGGAGAAAGAGAGAGCAGAAAAGAGAGGGGAAGGCAGGAGGAGGTGGTCGTAGTATATTTTGAGCGTTAAAAATACATGTTTTTTTGTTGTTTTTTTGTGTTCAAGTACAGTACATGCCAGAACGAGAAGTGCAGTAATATCAGCTCTACAATTCAAATACATAAAGAATGGTCATTTTAAATTGCCCATTCCAAAGAAAATATAATTAAGAGGGGGCTGTTTTTGGTGCGTCAGAAAAGATACTGTAATTTCTACTTGGTGACAGGCATTGGAACCAATCCTTTATTTAATCTCTTTTCATAAGACGGGTTAGTTACAACTCAAACTTCAAATTCCTCATAATCCCTTGCATTCCTGATCATACAACAAAGAGAAAAGTAGAAACTCTGGCCAAGAAAAAACCTCCAACCTCACAATTTTACATTCCCTCTTTGATCCAACCTCACAGTTTCATATTCCCACTTTTTTCAAGTGACTTTATGACATAACTTCCATTAAAATAATAACTTGTTCCCATAATAGGCAAAGAAAATAGAGAGATTCAGTTTGAAATCTTGGGTTTGTCCATCATCCACTAAGTTTAAACTGTGGCCACCAAGGAACCTTCAAGACTGCTGACTACTTTAGATATGGTTCATACCCAGGAAATTGTTCATAATGCATCAAATCAGACTTAAACACACAGAACACTGATAAAATAATACAGACATTACTACAGAAAGACTTTGATAACTGCTTTTGCAACGACTAAGAAACTAAGGTACACCAGGATCGGTAGGAAATAAATGGATTCTAGTATAAAAAATGACAGATAATAAGACACGGTGGGAGAGAATGGGGTACAGAGCCAAAGTTCACTGAACCAAAACGCAGACAGGAAACATACATGTACTAACGAGGTGCCTGAGATATTACAGACTGTATGCACTCAGACTACCCAAGAAGCATCATACAGACCTGCCAACCAATAAGAAACATAAATGAAAAGAAAAATATTCTGGAAAAAAAAAAAAAAGCAGTAAACGCAAAAAAGACAAGGGTTATCCTTTTTTTTTATGAACACACAATTCTGGACTTAATGTACAACAGACACACTAAAAATACAGGATCAATATCATAGACCTTAACTGGTTCCTTACAAAATCAATAAAAGGGAAACAGAGTATTGTAGGGGAAGTTATTAAAAGGGAGGAACCAGCAACCAGAAAGTCAGAAAAGGTGAATTTTCGGTGAATTAAAAGTTATGGGGAAGTTGATTTTGGAAAGGAGTTGGCAGCTTTGCAGACACAAAAGCTACCAGTCAGAGCTCCACGATTCTGACACACAAAGCACAAAAAGTACAGAACCCACAGGAGCCTTACAAAGAGAGAGAGAGAGAGAGAGAGAGAGAGAGAGAGAGAGAGAGAGAGAGAGAGAGAGGGAGGGAGGGAGGGAGGGAGGGAGGGAGGGAGGGAGGGAGGGAGGGAGGGAGGGAGAGAGAGAGAGAGAGAGAGAGAGAGAGAGAGAGAGAGAGAGAGAGAGAGAGAGAGAGAGAGAGAGAGAGAGAGAGAGAGAGAGAGAGAGAACTGTCAAAACCTTTAAGTGCACCTGCCCTAAAGGCAATCACAAGCGTGGCATCTTCAGTCACCTGAATATGTTGCATCTCAAGGATAGGACACAAAAGTTTTACTACTTGTTTCAGTTGTTACTACCTGCAGTCCAAAGGAACTTTTAAGGAAGCTTTTTTTTAAACCTGTAAACTGCAAAGTCTACGTATTTGTTTGCAATGTCAATGGAACTATATTAATATTTAAGAATTAAAATTAATTACTGGCAGAATCTGATCACTACTAAACTACTTGCATATTTTTTAGCTAGAGGAAACAAAAATGTTTTGAGAATGTGAGTGAATGACTGTGCGCAATGGTTTGTGTGAGTTTGTTTGTGAGTGCATATTTAACTGTGGCAAGTGTGTATGTCTGAGAAAAAGCCATGTGGGAGAGACAGGGGGAAAGTTAGCTAATAACTGAGACCTTACAAAGGCATTCACCACGGAGATTTTGACAAGTTTTTATTAGAAAGAGCTACACACAGTCTCTCAGTCTTATTATTGCCCCAAATTTGAACCAGATCTCCTATTGCCAAGAAATGGAATTCTTTTTAACATGATATCAAAACAAACACCTAACGTCTTGGACACTGTGATAACCCAGTTCATCAAATTTACACCAGTCAAGGCCAAATGATGCACCAGCACATTCCAAAGATATGGCAAAGTGAAATCGCAAGGCCAATAAATCCTTCCCAAAATAACAATTTTCAACGTTTTACAAGACTGTACTATTAACACTGCAAACTTAAAAGTTTCTGCGGAGTGGGAAAAAGGGTCTAAAAACATTCACTACAGAAAGAGATAAATATGAACAACTTCAAAACAAACTCGGAATACTGCAAAAGGTATGAGTGGAGTGCTCTCGTCCCATAAGACCAGGGGTTAGCTGTCTAAACAGTGGTGTATAAGGAAGCCACAGTGATATTTAAATACTGTTGTGAGTAAATCAGAAGTTTACTTCAAGAAAAAAGCTGTCCCTTTTCAGCAGTGCTTGGAAGCTACATCTAGTCACAAGATTTGTTAAAAATCCTGTACCTGAAAACGCACGTTCTGCATAGTCTAATTGAGGTTACTGAGTCTTGTGCTACACACAGAAAGAATCAGGCAAAACAAAAACAACAACTGTGAGATATTGGAAAAGAAAATCAACAGTTATGGTAACTGAGATGAAGCACAGCACCTATAGGAGTTGGGCAATACACGTGGAAACCCAAATAAAGAGATATTAGCACGAGCAAGCCAGCCACAGAGCTCTCCCCTCTGCATGTTTATTCTTGGGAACATTGAAGTATAGATAGACACTAGGGGGTAAAAAATTTACTGATGCAAAAATGAAAACCACAGTGCAGGAAAACCAGGCAGAATCTCAGTATCAACAGCAACAGATTACTCAAGGGAAAAAATATGTTCGGAATGACTTTGTTTTTATGCCATCAATTTCGGACATCAATTACATCTTTTATGATTCAAAAGAACACAGCAAAAGGCAGCATACTCTTGGTAAACTGTTAGTGTCTAAAGAGAAAATGAATGAGGAGATCAAAGGTACCCAGTTCATTCAATCATTTGTAGAAAACAAAACTTGATGTCTGATGGACCACTTAATTTTTACGTTTGATTATGGCAGGGTCACATAACCATCGAATTGAAAGAAAAGAAAAGGAACACTTTACTTTCTTCAGAGCTGGAAATACTTTTTTCTGATTCACGTCTATCTAGTTATAATTAAATATCAAACTAGCAAATTTTTAACTTAATTCAGTTACAAAACTTTTCTGATTAATTTCAAGATCTTCATTACAACAATAGTTTCCAGCCATTTACAACAGCCACATTCCTCACAAAGTAATACATCTTTACCTACTGTCAAGACAAGGGCTTCTAGAAAAAGAGGAAGCGATTCTAGGAACTTTTTTTACAACGTATTGTGCTTAGCCCCAATTCTAGTGAACAAAGTATATATCAAGGGCTTTGTAGATTCACATTTATTGCCATTTATATCTGCACACACTAACACTACAGTAATTTTGCAAACTGTCATGAAATTTTTCGACTTTAGTTTTCCTTATATGAGTTTGCTTTCACGGTAGAGAGCAAAAGCCTCAAATGCACCTCAGACCTCTTGTAAGAACAACACTAAAATGCAACAGCGAAAAAGCTGCACAGTGAACGGTTTGCTCAGGACCCGCAGTATGTGCCATGCATGTGTTGTGAATAACAGGCCAGAGGGGAGGCAGCTCTGCCAGACCACTTACTAGATGTCCACCCCTTGAGCAAGTTGGTGACCGAAGAGACTGTGTGGTAAGGGTTGTACTGCTGTATGGGGAAGGGAAAGGGGGAATGGGCAGCCATGTAAAAATGGGGAAAAAAGAGAGAGAGAGAAAAAGAGCATGAGAATCACTGCTAGCATCACAGAAATATCCACAAGTGGAGAGGAAGACACAGACCCAGGGGAACTGATTGCATCATGGAATAATAAGCTCTGCAAAGCATGTTGGCCGAAGTAGGCCCCACATCACGCAAAAAGTGTAACGACACTTCAAATATAAGCGCCCCCCCCACAAAAGATGTTAAAGGCATATCATTAGTGTATGGCATTAACAGTGGTGCAGTAAAACGATACATCCACTGATATCAAACAATTGTACAACGAGAGTTAAAAGAGAACTGGAATGAAGGAAGCGTTTCTGTTTTTGTCAAGAAATAACATGGTAAGAATTTTCAAATACAAAAGACAGGTGCAAACTATGCAAAGGCTGTGACAGCAAAAGATTTTTAATATATTATATTATATGACTTAATTTTCATTAACAGATCAAACTTTTCCAAGGTAAAGCTATACGGTCCTGCCACCTGATCATTTAGTTACATGGTGGCTAAATAACCACAAAATCTAACCCTGCAAACTACGCATGAAGGAAGGAATTTTTTTAAAGACCCTAAAATAAATGTCACAAACCCAAAGTATCTCTAATGTTTTCAGATCTACACCATTTTCAATTAGAAAAAGAAACTGACCCATTAAGAAGCATACATAACCTGGAGGCATAAACTCAGCTAACAAAAAAAACCTCATTTATTTATACTTGAGATCAATATTTCAGACATTTTACAATGGTGAAACAAAGATCCCTCATAAATGTTCAGGGGGAGATACAATGATGTAGGCCTATGGCTTATTACTAGTTTTGTCTCTTGCTTTTAATTCCTCACAACCGACATACAAGAAATATGAGCCGCCATTAAGAAGCAATATACTAAAGTCAACAACTTTCATCTTTATAGGCATACAGTGTAATGTGCTCCATTCAAATCAACACAAACATTATAATCAGTATAAGTAACCAGGAACTCCTTATTTTTTCCCAGACTTCAGACAAGGGGGTTTATTTAAATCTATAAAAATTCTAAAGGCCGTGATATATAACGTTCTTTTACTATTGTTACCAATTGAAATAACAGAACAGGATGACTAAAAAAAATATTAACATTTCAATATTTGCTGACTTGTTTAGTCAAAGATAACACAAACATGGATTAACAGATATTTTAGAATGCTTTATTCAAGCACTATGATTTCATATCTTGGAAATAGTAAAGCAAATATTAAAGAATGCGACTGGGCAAAATAAAGCTATACTGTAAGGCATAATGCCTCTTTGAAGAGGTTGTTAAAGAAAGAATTGGGATGGTACAAACCTTCATAGTCATAGCCCTGCAAGAGTCAGCACAAACATATTACACAACATGAACAACACAAAAATAATTGTACACCAAAACCTCTAACCTAAAAATCCCAACACGTTAAAAAATTACAGAACACAAATAAAACAAAAAACAACCATATGCAAACACAATCCTGTGAAATTAAGGCATAGGATTTAATGAGAAAAAACATCCACCTCTTCAATACTTCTCCACTGAAAGAGCTCAAAAGTAACCAGCCATCTTAAACCAATTTCATTCAAAGTCATAATAGACAAGAAAAGCAAAAGTAACAAAGAATTGCAAATAGAAAATATTGACTGCTTGGCGTAAGACTCCGCCATACACCATTCTGAAAAGAGACATAATGATGGAGTCTTACAGTGAGCAGTTGATATGCACTTTGAGACCCAAAACGTTGTCCAATCCCTGTCCGTTGTGCGCTCCAAGATGGAGATATTGCTTAATATTTACATCACTTACCACCAGGGTATATCAGGATGGATCAAAAAGTGATGGAAGTTGCCATCTAAAGACTAAGAAGTTGACTTCAGTCTCATGAAAGCATAACATCTGAGTATTCTATATTATACTCTCGAACCAACCATTGGAGTTTCATGTGAAACCAACTCTCGTTTTTTTCTTTCTTTTGAAGCTTATAAAAGATAATTTCATGTTACAAAGAATGGTTTGGGACATTTTAGAAGAGTGGAATTTCCACCGAAAAAACACCAGTTTACGCATCTTTATGTGCTGTAAACTTGCTGAATGACCAGAACTGATTCATGAAAATAAGCTGAGTGGTTTTAAAGAACGTTCTTGTTTATTACATATAACCCAGTTCGATACTTATAAAGAGAATTAAACGAACAGAAAACCGTGTGCATGTTGGATACCCCCATTAAATGAGGAAGAAAAAGGAGAGCCAGTGAGATGTGACACAGAATTGCTCAACATGTTAAGAGCCCCCGGGGACACACATGACTGACAGATATTGTCACAAGAGATGAAAAATGGATTGCCTTTTGTGGAATTCCATCAAAATGGCGGAATTGCATATGGACAGGTGAGAAAGGAGACAGCTTTCTAAAGCGTCTAAAATTTCAATGAGAAAAAGGCTTTTTATTGTGTTTTTCATTGTATTTTTCATTACGGTGATCCCTTTGTGGTTGATACCATGCCACATAATACTACTATGACTTCTTACTGTGCGTTACTAGGTACTGCCTAAGTTGAAGAATGTCGATAAGCAGAGAGCAAAGATTGCAACCTCTCAAACAACGCTCCTACACCACAGTGCAGCTCCCTACAAGACAAGGACCACTTGTGCAAAGAAAAGCAAACAGTCCCTGTTTCACCTCGTCCAGCCTTCCGTCCTGACTTAGCTCCCTGTGACTCTGAGTGCTAGTTGTCTCCTATTCTGAAAGATAAGCTTGCCGGATGAATGTTTGAATGCATTCAGGACCAAACAAGAGTTGTCATTTGACTGCTGTCAGGCACAGCAAAAGCTCACTGCCTTTGCCTTCCAGGAATGACTATGATGGCTGGAATCCTGCACACAAGGTTAAGGGAATATTTTGGGCATTGTGAAAATTTCAGGTCCTCAGCATTTAGAAGTTTTTGAGAAATTATTTCACAACTTCCATTACTTTTTTTTATCGACCCTTGTATTACCATGGAGATTATCAAATTACCATCATTACATAATTGTTAAAAATGGAGCATTTTCAGACAGAGTGAGCCGACATTCTCTCCCCCAATCACAAATGACTCCTGTAGCAGTGTCCACCCTCACTAAAAGGCACTATTGTCTATAATCAATTTTCTAAAATGCCCTTACAGTTTGACAATGGCTAAACTGAAAGAAATGCAACAGAAGAAATGTACTGACTCTCTGATATTACTTACATCTTAAAAATGCAGAAGATTCAAGTACAAGCAAAGATCATTATTTGAGCCATTGTCAAGTACAGTGGGTGGAGGGGAGGGAAAAGGAGGGTGTGCACTGTTACATTTGTCAACTTTTAGTAAAACAACATTGAAAGCAAGCATTTAAAACACAAGACTGGTAAAGGAAGGGGACCAAAGTGGAGTTTCAAGGGATTTGGGACAGTATTTTGGTGCAGTTCACATCTACAATTTTTGGAAAAACCATCCAGTTCGACTCAATTCAGTTCCAAAAGCAAAAATGCACCGACAGAACACTGGTGTATCCACCAAGAGCCAAAGCAGACGAGCCTGTTTAGAGAATTAATTGACCTCCTCACTGTGTGTGTTTGTCAAACTTAGGGTGAGAATCTAGCCACTGTGTCGCTCGCCCTGCTGGGGGGCAACACTATGGAACTTACGAAGCACATTCCACCCACTGTCCGAGCTGCTAGCCAAAGTGATCTCCATCTGATGAACGACGCCAGGGGATGACTGTTATTGGCCGACAAAGGACACACAAATAACAGGCAGGGGACAGTGAGGGAAACTCGAAAACCACAATCAATAGTTAGGTACTGTTAGCCAGTATAGAATTTCAGCCCATTACAAAGAGCTTCTCATTAAAATTTATGTCAGCATGATTGCTCTTCTCCAAGAAGAGTGGCAACTCATGTTACATCTTGTCTCCCAGACATAAACTGATACTGATTAATCAACAAAAAACAAACAAGGAAACCCCCCCCCCCCCAAAAAAAAAAACCAAAAAAAAATTTTTAATCTGAGACCATGGTGAATGAAAATATTTTCCCCAAACTAGCTATCACTACATATCCAAATGCTGAAACAATAAAACTGTGCTCATCAGTGACAATATGTTATGTGCTTTTTGCTGCGAGTGCTAATGAGAAAAAGTCAAAGAGAAAGAAATGAAAGAGATATCTTCACTGACTCACAAATAAATTTATTTATTGATCTATTTTTCTAAAATGCCCAGTCTCTATGTTCCCATAGAACTACCATGAACCCTGTATTTGTGGTTTTGTGTATATTCAGCTGGACTGGGGAACTGTAAAACCTGGTTATGAAATATGAGATTAAACTTGAATCCTTTTCCTAACAAACATCTTTGCGTTGAGACCTGCACATTAAAAGACTTGGCTCGTGAAAACCGAAATGTCCTTTATGGTTCATGGGCTAGATCTGTCTTATTCCTTATTTCTGTTTTAAAGTAGCCATTTGTATGGACTCGTTGAAAACTCATGCGCACCTAGAATTTGTCTTGAAATGTATGAACATAAAATGGAACTGGGCAGACAAGTCTGATTGAAAAGTATGAACATAAATTGAATTGGGAGGACAGTCTATTTAAATGAGTCAAAAGCTATTAAAGCAGTATTAATTATCAATGACTGAAAAATCATACACTATTATTCCTTAAATTTTGCTCATCATGGGTTGCTCCAGGCATTAGAAATGGGACCGTGGGCATAATTTCAACCAAACAAAATCATTCAATTACACACAAAAGGGCTGGTCAAAGCCAAATGCACCTCAGGCAAGCAAAGAGTTAAAAGCATTCCCTTTATAAAACATGTATTTAGAGGATTGGAAATCTTTTCTGATTGATACTAGAAATATCACTGTCTCACTCACTACCCATATCACTGCCTCATCTACAACTACAAGTCTTGCCACTGACTCACTCGTTTCCCATATTACTGTTTTTGTTTGTTTTAGTAGAGGTTTTACGGCGCTCGCAACTGCATACGGTCATATGAGCGCAAGGGGTGGATGTCAACAAAGAAGTCCTTACAGGACATATTCTGCTCACTTCTCTAGCTTCAACAGCACAAAGTCTGCTTCCACTATCCAGGCACCGCGGAAATAGTGGGTCACAAGAGAGTGGCAAACATACAAAAGAAGTAGAAGAAAATGACGATAGTAAGGAAGAGGAAAGAAAAAGCAGCAGTTCCCTGTTGCAATTCCGGCAAAGTTAGGAGCATGAAATTGATGAATCACCCCATTTACAATTCTACTGTGCAACAGAACATGGTAATGTCCCCCTTTTGGGAAAGGCCTAAAGACACTTCAGTCAGTAGCACTGCCCCGGGGGGGTCCTTATTACTGTCTCATTCATTCAGACCCAAAATAGTCATTAACTCCTTTGAGCACAACACACTGCGTCTGTGCTTTTATAGAATAGAAAACGCCCAGCAGTAAAGACTTCTTTGAGTCAAGGACAAGCCACTAAACCTGAAGCTGTGATTAAACCTTCGTAGCCAGGAGTAGGCACAAGAGCTCAAACAGCAGAAGAATAAGCATTAAAAGCTTCAAATCATTCATTACTACAGTTACCACATAGTGTGGCCTTCAGTGCCCCGAGTCACCTCGACAAATCCAAGGAATCAACAGTCATTTTGCCAAAACTTCCTTTTTAAAAAGCCAAATCCAAATAAATACACGTTTACTCGCCAATTTTGAGTACCGCTCGTACAAGAACAATCATCTCTTTTGTCTAGTTAAGCAACAACAAAAATATAGCCTGTCATTAATGACATTGCATTTTTTTTTTAATTTGACGTCTCTGCCCACTGTCGAGCATGGATAACTTGGAGACTCACTGGAACCACATCATTAAGTTCAAATGAGCTAAAATTCTAGTTGAATTTGTATTAAAGCACTGTTTATTGTAAATGAAACAGAGTTTTCTATAACATTGAAGTTATATGAGTTTTAAACCTTTAAGCCCACCACACAGAAAGGCTGCTGCTGTCTAGGTCAGAAGTTAACAATGCATGTGGCGAGACTGCAAAGAACCACCTACCTATCACTCTCTCTTATACTGTGCTCAAATAGTATCCTCCCACCCCATCCACTTGTTACATTACTCCTCTCACACATTAATGCATGACATCTGTGTTTCTGACATCTTGATCAATTGACTCCGTTATCCTATCAGCAAGAAAATATGTTAAGTATACCCAGTATTGCTTGAACTGAAAACAAAAACACACTTATTGTCAACAAAAAAAAATATCAGGAACTTTAGTTCTACCCTGCATTACAGAGTGAATGATAAAAACATTGGCATTGTTCCTAACAGCAACACCATACGGAAAAAAATGGGAACCAGACCTCACTTCCTGGAATCTCGGGTTTCTGAGTTCAGAAGACCGTTTGAATTTCAAACTCTGTATCATAACAACACTCCAAAGATGACAACAAAATAGACGCAAATTAATAAACACTTCTACATAATCTAGCTCACAGTTTACGTCCTACATAGTCAAGCCACAATGAGCAGAAGTTTTCATCTCATTTCTGCTGTAATTTCTGACATTAAAAGCGCACTTGCCTAAAAACCAAAAAAAAAAAGTATTTAGTGCGTAAAATATGTTGCTAGGGACACTCATGCTATCACCTGCACTGCACGAGACTTTCTCTGAAACAGACAAACGTGAGTGACAACAACACCCTTCAGAAAAGACCCAAGCATTCACTTGAGCTTGACAACTGAATTTTGAGTACAGCATTCAAATAAAGATGACCACGAGCTCACATGTCCTGAACTGACCTCCAGTCAATTTCGATCATTATCGTTAACTTTCTCATTAGTCTTGATATGAGAGTGTGTCAGTGCCGTATGAAACTGGATTAAATTCATAAGAAGCAAAATCTGTCAATTTTCTCAATTCCCCATCAGAATATAATGTACCCCCCCCCCACCCCCAAGAAAAAAAAACAAAAACAGGCCAACCTGCTGCCAAAACTATCAAATAGTCATTTAATCTCTCTTTGTAAGTGATGTACAATGGACAACAAGACTTACATTGGCTGCTGCATACTCAAAAGAGAGGCGAGACTCCTGCCTGGAGATTCCGGAAGCCACCAAGTCCATCATAGGTGGGTCTTTATCCCAGAACATGCAGCAGATCATAGCCATAGTCTGTACATCTCGTACTTGACCATAATGGGACAAGCTGAAAGACAAAATCCAACTACCATCATTACTTGGAAACCGCATCTACAAATACTGAGAACATTATCAAGATCTGTGATAATTCATAGCTACCAACTTTATAGAATTTTTTTAAACAGCACCTAAAAAAATCTTCTTTCTGCAAACCAAACTTTTATTTTCAACAAACACTTTTTATCTTGATTCTATCCTGTGACCACTTTCATTAAAAACCAAATGCTAAAACAAAGTTAACACTACAACATTAATAACAAATGTTGTGACACACAACAACAGTATTAATCAAAACCTCAACTCTTTTACAATAAAAAGACTTTTGCCTGCTAAAAGAAATCATAACTTTTCCTAACACTATTATACTCACTCAATGTAAGATACATACCACAGTATTACATCAGAATAAAGTAAGCAGATACTGCACCTGAACTTAACATTATTAGAGGCGAACTGTCTAGAAATTAACCAGTGCACCGCCCAAGGGAGAAAGACTGATAGATACCTTTTCAACAGCAAAGACAAAATATAGCAAGTAACATAGCAAAAGTAATTTTTAGTTTCTTTTCTTTCCTTCCTCTCGCATGAAAGCCAAAATACACACAACTAATAACAAATATATTTTTTTTATCCACTTAAAATGTGAGGTAGTGTGGTGAAATTAGGCGCTCGTCAAAATAATGAAATTGAAGAAACTGGCATTATTTTGCCAGTTTGGCAATTTTTATCAAATTTTTGTTTTTTGGCTTACCACCATTGTTGTCCAATTATGAACACGTTTCTGTGTGAATCTTACTGACAAACGCTGATTAAAGGCACAATAAAAATGTGTTTTCAGTTTCCATGGACAATCAAGCTATAGAAAAAAAAAACTTTGGCTGCCGTTTTCTTGCTAATTCTACCTTTGAACCAGGAAACCCCACCTTCTTCAACCTCAAATATCTTGACTTCTATTCAAGATAGAAGAGCATTTTTTTTCACCTATGGCAAGGCAACTGAACAAGCTTTAAGAAGATACCAATAACTCCACATGCCCAAAAATTGACGAGCGCCTGATTCCACCACGTCGTGACACAGATGTCTCGCAGACAAAAAAAAGTGACTAAAAATACAAAAAGAGCAACAAACACCAGTGTCAGCAACTTACAATTTTTCCACCATGCCCCGACCAAACGGGTGGTACGCCCATGGAGGTCCCAGCTCTACGTTAGGTGAAGGTCGTAGCACTGGATGCGACATCTGATGAATCAGTTTCCACAGCTGAAACATGTGAATTCAAAACAAGCTTCATTACTCGGAGATGACTTGATGATTGTTGGGGCACGTTGTTGTTTTGTATTCACTTGACCCCCCCTTCTCCCTACGATCTAGTTCCCCAGTTGTGAACACTAGAATACATGAGATAGAGGCTGTTTTTCCAGACTCAATTAGGTTTTGATGGGTAAAAACTTAACTCTTTATCTCCCGTAAGCTACTCCCAGCAGCTCGCCTGTACAGAACCCCTGTGCTGGTGAGCCTCTGACAGCGGCTCGTGCACATCACTTTACGACGACTTCAACATCAAATACTTTTCGGCAATGGCCGAAAACGGGTCTCTTTTATTGGGAGTTAATTCATTAGATGAAGAACAATCAAAATAGGTTCACTTGTTTTGATTTAATTACCAATTTAGTGACGTTTCTGTCATTATTAGATATAGTACCAAAGAAAGGGCCTGGCAAGGTGGGTTTACCCCCCACGAAGTTAAAGAGTTAAATACCACACCAATAGCAAACAATATAGAAAATATAGTAAAAACAATTAATTTCATGTCATTCTGACAACAGACACAAATTTCTTGCACATGATGAGAACATTTTTTAACTAAGTCAACTGACTGTGTCTGTCAGCCAAGGGGAGCAAAGATTGGTTTAATTTAAATAAACAAAAGTGCATTCGCATGACAATGATCATTTAGCACAGGGGAAAAGCAAGACAAATAGAAACAACAAAAGCAGTAGGACCCTATAATACCACCCTCCAAACATCCACTGAAAAATGGATGAGCATCAAGGGCCACAATCATGGTGTAGAGTTCTCTCAATTTTCTAGCGTCGTTTAAGTGGCAAGACCCCTTATTTAACATCCATCTCCAGTAATCCCACCTCATTGAGGATTCTAACAGGGCTCATACACACCATAGCAGAGATGCCAACCAAACAAAACCAAAATGAGTATTGGGAAATATGAAAATGTGTATTTTCAGGGGAAAATGTGTATTCTCCACGACCAACCGACCAACTAGTAAAATGTTCAGGTTGTCCAGCAATATTTCCTGAAAAAAATTTACGAGCTCACCAGCTCGAAAAAGGGAGCACACACGCATACAATATACATGTATCCAGTCAACAACATGTCAGTGTTCAGTGTTGTACTGGGGTCTTGTTTGACTTAAATATTTCAGTCTGTTATAATATTTTCCTCTCATTATTATATAAAAAATTAATCCTGTTTTGAGCATTCGGAAGAGCCTAGAACAAGAATTTCGACTATCAAGAACCAGTCTGGGTGTCATGATTCATATTATGAACTGACAGACTCAAATTATTGCTCAAACTCAGAGAAAAGCAATAACTTGAATGGCTCAAGTAGACCCATGCACTGTGAGAGTTGTAACAACTGTGGGAGGGCAAGATGCAGTGACACTGAAAATCTGCCCGTCTTGAACCGAAAGCTACAACAAACACTGTAGGCATAATTTACTATCACCCATCCAATGACACGCGAACATTTTTTTTCAATTACATGTACACACACTTGCAAAGTATGAAGGGTCCAGATTCCGCACACGGCCTGCACCAACGCGCGCTTTGCAGAGAACTCTAATCAAAATTCTGAAATTTGCCTCCAAGTTTTTCCCCTCTGGTGTTGCCTTCACACCTCCTCCTCCCCCCCCCCTCCTCGAGTGTATAAACAAAAAACAATAATCCCTTCCCGTAGACCTATACTTGGCAACGCCGTTACTCCCACCAAACACGGTCTTTGCTCACACGATGCCGCATTTATTTGAGATGCAAATGCGCGCAGGTTCATTGACCGGTCACGATGGCGAGCCCGACAATCTAAAAATCGGACGACGCTTGTATTTTCTTTTTCTTTTTTTCCTACAGTACAAGTAACAGCACAGAGACGAACTCAAGAAATTTTATTTGCACGGCAACACAGCGTTTACACTGCACAGCCTGCATGTCACAAATAAGTTGCGTTATCAGTCTACCGCTGGCAAACTTCTCGGTGGTAACGAAAGCGAAAGTAGATCTTGATTTTCCCGATCAAGCCTCGGTGTCTTACGCCTGCCGCCATAGCCGCCAGTTCGTGTGAAAGTAAAACGTACTCTCGGAGGAGGAAAAGCTAAATGAATATTATCACAATCGTGACCGGCAAAAATGAACTTACTGACCTTATCGGACTTGGTTTTCAAATACTCCAGTTCCGCGATACTGATACTATTTTGACAAAACAGGGGACTTGAGATAATTAGGTTTACTCGCCCAAACTGGATCTCATATTTTTCGCATTCCAGGATGCGTATTTTTTCCTGAAAAGTCGTATTCGCGTATTTTCGGAAAAAAATCGTACTAAAATACGTAAAATCGTACTGGTTGGCATCTCTGCCATAGCCCAGCATAAAATCAACTGAGCATAACGACACGACTAAGAAATACACTACAATTTCAACAACCAATATGTGAAATAGTACGTCTGTAAAATAGACTTGACAAATACATTAAGATTCCTTACCTGAACCAAGTCCTTTCGTCCAATTTTCATGGCCACTGCAGCATTGTGATCACAAGTGCCAGGAATATCCTGCAAATCTAGCCTGGAGTGGGAATGAAATAAAGGAGGAACAAAAACTCACAATGACAAATACAGAAACAGTTATAGACCTGCATGTGAGCCTCAACCAGATTGTCTGAAAATTTTGCGCACCCCCCCCCCCCCCCCCCCAAAAGCCTTTGTGGGTGTCATAAAGAAGAACATCCAAGTAACGAGCGACCACCCCAACAAACACAATAAAGAAGAGACCTAGATCTAACCCTAACCCTACCCCCAAAAAGAACCTGCAACGGGCCTCATGTAGAAAGGCCAAATCAAGTCCTAAATTTTTAAAAAAATTAAATTTAAAAAACCACACTCCAAAACAAACAAGGAGCATATAGATCTAGATCTAGATCTAGATTCTAGATCTATATATGGCTTACATCTACATTGCTATAGGGTTTGATACAATAACACAATAGAATTGGAATATAAAATGAATCCTTCATATAGATCTATATCTAGATCTAGAAATCTAGTAATCTAAATAAATCTAGATCTAGATCTTGTATAACAAGCGAATAGGAATAGGCCTTGAACTAGAAATCCGCATCCGATTCCGAACAGAGGGACTCAGCTGAGTCTAGATCTTTACTAAATAAATAAACAATTCACGCACCTGATGAAATGCTTATTTTTACCAATATAAAGATTACAGCACAACCTATGATAGGGTTTGACACAATAGAATTGGAATATGAATCCTCCATTGAGGTCTATAATGATCTATATAAATCTAGATCTAAATCTAGATCTAGATTCTATTAGAACAAGAGAGTCGGACTTGAATGAATCCACACGATCTGAACAATTGAATTAGTCAACAAACGAAATTCAAAATGGCTGCTCGAGCACGAAACTGAAAGTAGATAATTTAAGTTGTCGTCCTTTTTCGTATTCGCATTTCTACTTAGGTTCCGACAATTATGTCGGAAACGCCGACGTCGGCAGTCGGCGGTGCGCGCGTCGGCGGTCGGCACGAAAACGAAAGTGCCGACGAAGCCGACGGGAGAAAAAGGGGGACGCTGGCAATCGGCCAAGCCTCGCACTATGCACATTGACTGATAGTGATACAGGCGGGCCTAGCGATAGCATCGGCCGGTTCGCGGGTCGGATTTCAGACGATTGTCAGCAAACATGCAGGTCTACAGTTACCTCAGACAAACAACATAATTTACAGACATCCCCAGTCTTCTTGACTCTGTGGACATGAACACACTCTACCTCAGCATGCAATGGTAAAAAATCTAGCAGTCATCAGGGACTTCCCAGTTTCCGACTGCAAATTTTTAGGTCCGCTCTTAATGGTACCATTGTGATAGGTTTATTTCAAATTTGAAAGAAACACGGAAACACAGCTCAGAACAATTCTAATTGGAACATAATAAAAGACAGTCAGCACAAACAAACTTGAGACTTAAGCATAGGTCTTTGCCACAAGATTTTGGAACAGTCACATACACACTTTAATCTTACTTGTAGTTTTCTGCCAGATACTTGGACAGCGGGTTGATGCTTGAGATGTCATATATGTTGATGGCACCAACTTTCTGCAGTTTCTTGCTTTGTCTCTCCGCATCCTTTTCCTTGTGTGGGCGAGGTTCCCCCGCGTCCCGTGACCGCCCCTGAGATTTGTGGTGGTGGTGCAAGTGGCTCTGTCGATTTTTACTCTTGGCATGCTGTGGATCCATCATAAGTGTTGAACATTGAATTTTTTAGGGTTCCCTTATCCTCAGCATAATCTCATCAGAGCAGTACAACATGAATACAAATAATCTTCACTAAATGGGACCGTATCGACTTAAACAAGTACAGTTAAACTTTTTCTTACAACCCTCTGTCCAAGGCAATCGTCTGTACAAATGATCACTTCCCACTTCCCTCTTTGCATTTTTCTATAATATAATGACACTGTCCAAGAGGACCACACATCTAAAAATGACCATTTTTCTCCTCAACAAGTTTCACTGTATAAACATACCGCAATAACAAAAGTGTGGGTCATTTCTCAAGAACTGTAATGAAAAGAACATAAGCAATTTTCATACAACAGCCCCTCTGCACATCAACAATAGAGACTTAGTATTAGAAAAACAAGCTGGTTTTTTTTAAGACCAGTGACACTTTCCCTAGACAACACTGCCATGTACCTTTTCTGTGAAGAAATCGCTGATGCTAGCAGCTGGCACAGTGGGTGGAGGGCTCCCATACAACATGGAGAGGGAAAAACTTGGCTGAGACCTTATCCACTGAGACTGGGTGCAGGTCACCAGGTCAGACAGGGCTCTAGGACAAGGAGGACCACAGAATGACATACTCACTACAGCAATTAAGCAATGAAACACAGACAGCCACACAAATAAATAAGAACTTAAAAAAAAAAGACATTGAATTTCAAGACATTAGTAGGTGTTTTTGCACTGCCTTCCTTATTTAAAAATAGCAACCTTTTCATGCTTTCAAGTCAAGTGAGCGGGCTCTCGTGGTCTAGAGGTTAGGTGTTGGGTACTCGTGCAATAGGTCCCAGGTATGAAACCTGACAGTGACCGAAAATTTTCGTTAAAGATCCTTTCGTGGTCCAAAATCGATAAGAGTAGGCTCTGGCCACCACCCGAGCAATATTCATAATTCCTACCTTACTGGAAATGTGAAACGTGCCCGTGCTCTCATATGACCTTATGCAGTTGTGCGCCTCATAAAACACTTAGCCAAACAAAAAAAAAGACCAAGTCATGTGATCATATACTTTACGTTAAAACTCACCAGTCCTTTATGAGTTTAAATACATGACGATATGAACAGTGCTTCCATCAGCTGAAGCTGAAAAGTAAGGAAAATTCTGAAGGGGGTCTCCCAGCAGGGAGCAGGGACAGCGCCCCGGTGAAGGTTCAGGGGGCAAAGCCCCCTGAAAAAATTCAAATTTAGTGCTTTTAGAGGGTTGAAAATGGCATTTGGGAGCCTGTTTGAAGAGATTGCCTGCAAACCATAACATTTATTTTTTCACCAACATTTTGTCTCGTTTGATTTCTTCACCAAGATCTGCATAATATATTTCCATTGATGGCAACGTTTGAAAGCAGGTTCCTCTTCCATTGCTACTATAATTCAATTAATTTGTCATCGCACCATTGATAGAAAGCAAACCAGGGAATAATGAATAGAGAATCTAGATATGTACCTTCACAATACAGTTACCCCACGTATACCCTAATATTCCTTAAGTTTCAAGCCTGAATGTCGCATGTCACAACCTCGGAACACCACTTCGAATTACTCTTGACTTTAGTAGTCTTAGGTTGATTTTAGCATAAATTTCTTTCATCGTGGCCCTTATGGCATTCCCGTGCCGTAAAATCTTAGCATTGCTCATTTCTCTAGATCTAGACAAATTTGTAAAAAAGTTTCTTTCTGACAGTAATTTTCTGTCTAAAATCACAAGTAGATTTCCAGTCGCGGCAACAATCCGAAGATAATCTAAGACGGAATGAATGAATGAATGATAGAAAGGAGGAAATTGGCAAAAAAAGTTTGCCAGATTTTGATCAATCCACGGGTAAAAATGTACTGCCGACAAGCCCGCAATGAATGCAAAAGGCATGGCGGAATAATTGCCGATGGCAGGAAATGCGCAATCTGGCAGGTTTCTATAACATTAACTTATTGCAGAGAGAATTACCGTAAAAATCCATAACTTATACAAGTACTAGACGATACGAAGGCGAGTACGGATCTTTTGCTACGGAATTTCGGTAGTCCTATGCTGTAGCAGATTTTTGCGGAGGGAGTTGATAATGATGGAGGAACAAGTACGTAACTGGCAGAAAGTATGGATTTCCGTAAAAATATGGAAGAGTGGAAGCACAGTATGAAGCAAGGAAAAAAACAAAACAGACGCAAATACCAAAGGAAACAAAGTAGCAGCACATACCAACAGTAGTCACCCAAGCCATACGTCGGTGGCCTAGTGGTTATGCTCTCGGACTCGCAACCGTAAGGTCGTGGGTTCGAATCCCGTCAGGGACCCGACGTTGTGTCCTTGGGAAAGGCACTTTACACGAATTTTCCTCACTTAACCCAGGTGGGAATGGGTACCCGGCTATAGACAGCGAAAGATCTTGTCAGTATGTTAGTGTTTGAGCGCTTAATCAGCTGCTTGCACTGTATGCTTCCCGGGAAGCTGAGAATGTTTCGGAGTGTTCTATGGTCTGCTGGGGTAATAATATAGTGTAAAGCGCATAGAGCCTGCTGTTGAGCGGGGATTTGCGCTATACAAATGCTATCTATTATTATTATTATTATTATTATTCTAGCATGCTCAAATATACAAGATATTTGCAACAAGCAAAAAAATCTTTAATGTATGTTTTACACCCCCCAATGATGACAATTTAGATAATTAAAGAGGTCAACTCATCCTGTCAAGGCCAATTCTGGCGAGAGGCACACAGAGTCCCAGTAGAAAGATGGAGATACTAAATAAAAATACTCCCCGTACGGGAATCAAACTATGGTCGTGGGTGGTCGGCGGGTGCTCTGGTGTGGTTAGCTCTTTCTTTCCTATCGAACATCTATAATCCTTATCTCCTCTTCTTTTTTATGTTTGTTACTCTCTTGTAACACCTCTAATCTTCTGACGCTCATATGACCTTATGCAGTTGTGAGTGCTGTAAAAACTCTACTAAAACTAAACTAAAACTATGGTCTTCTGCATGTCACAGCAAAGCATCCAAATGCTATACCAAAGACACCGCTCATGTGTAACTCATTGTGCTTCTCTTTCCAATACCTTAACATGAAAGAAAGACACAATAGAGTCCCAAGTATAATCTAATTTTTTAAAAGGCAGGCACATCAAATATACATACCTCGGAGTGACTTCCATGTCTTCATGGACCTTCTTCAGAAAAGCAGGCACAGAAAACACAACAAGGCGATCTGAAGCAAGGAAAATACAGAAAAGTATGTAGCTATAAACATAACACAGTGCCAAGAGAATAGAAAACCAGAGCTTACTGATATGTCAATACTGGACTTTTTTTACAGGCAGGTCCAAAATACTTCAAAATGTATGTTGAAACGAACTACACTAAGCTTAGACAGAACAATCATGGACATGACATTACATGAATTGTCCTAGCAAAATACCTTTCATTGGCTTTAATGTCAGAATAAAATGCTTGTAATTGTAGAAGAACCAGAGATAAAATAACAAATATTAAATCAAGAAACTAAAGCAGCACCTTTAATTTTTTTTTTAATGACAATATATGAGGTGTGCTGACAAAATGAGTTACTTCTCGGATTTCAGCCTTATGGAAATTGATTCATCAACTTGGTAGGTGAAGTTTGTACAGTTTGTGAGCATGTAATAGTAACAGACTCAGTAAACTTGAACAAAATGGCATCAATTGAAAATGTATAAATCTGACCCCAGTGTCGATTTTCAGCCGATATCTCCATTCTTGGATCGTTAGAAGTAACTCATTTTGTCAGCACATCTCACATATAGAAATGTTATAAAACAGGAAATATTAATGTCCACAGCCCTTCCCTTTCAATCAAGTTGTTACACCTCAAAAACAAGTGCGGGGATTAGCAAGGCCCGAGAAAGATTCCGGGAACATCTTCCCGTGAAAATGAGTTCAGTATTCTTTCCAACACACTTAGATTATTGCGAAGGCTTAGCACTTGTCCCACAGCTTGGGGGGAAAAAAGGGAAGGACAGAAAGGAGAGACATACACCAAAGTAAATACAGTCTAACGACCACCTGTCCAAAACAATCATCTGTACAAACGACCTCTTACAACCTTGTGTTTTCTGTATATTATACATAGCTGCCACTCATAAATTTTTAAATAGGAGGAAATTCACGCGAAGGCGTACGCGCGCTCTCCGAAACCAGTGAGATCCAGAGGCAATATATACTGGAAAATCTAGCCTACGGTTTTGGAAGGGAAAACTGTCATATTGTTAACCATAGGCAACTGAATTAAAATGTATTTGAAAAAAAAAACCCCAAAAAACCCATAAAGGCAGTAATTTGACTAACATTAACAAGCATTCGAGTCAATTTGACACAGTTTGGACTTGGTGACTAAAAATCCAGTGTTTTTTGCCAGCTGGTGTCTTATAAAAAGATTTCTTTCACTTTAAACATGTACATAGACGTAGAGCAGTATCGGATCAAGGACGCAGGCACTCATGTACAATTGCGGTCCCGTTTGCACTTAGTGCCCCTGTAGTGTGTTTCTTATTTAGAGATCTCAACTGAATTAAAATCATAGCCTAGGCTATCTAATCTAGATCTAGTTATATCTAAATATGTGTAGAACTAAATTATATCTAGAGATAGATTTTCTCGATCTAGATCAAGATTCACTTCCACAGCAGCCACAATAGCCGTCATGTAAACAAACGGGACCGCAATTGTACAGGAGTGCCGCGGGCTGCGATTTCTTTCGCAAAAAACAGCTAGTTCAATTTTCTAATGAACTTTTCAAGTCGCACACCGGCTGCTTCTTTCTCATTCCAGCTCCTTTTATTTTTGCATTCTGAATCAATTTCTCTCGAATTTCCGCCAATTTCAATGACAACTCGGCGCGTTAACGTCCTGATGCCCGATCGACACTGTAGTGTGTTGCTCCACAACAATAAACAATGTGAAACTAGCGCTGGGCCTAGAAGAACGGAAGTAGAAAGCTACAGGCGGACATGCGCAAGCCGCGTTTTCGTCTCTCTCCCGGTTCGGTGTTTTCCGCGGGGGAAAAAAAGTATGAAATTTGCGACCAAGAGCGGTCCAGCGGAGGAAGGAGGAAAGTTGCGGGAAAAGCTAGATGAAGCGGAGTTTCCGCTATTTAGCGGGAAAGTGGCAGCTATGATTATAATGACATCGTCTAAGATGTGCACCCGTCTAAGGCAACAACTTTTCTCCTCAACAACAGGTAGCCGTCTTGGCCCATTTCGAATGTATCACACATTCAAGGTTGCACTTATAATCTACACCCCCCCCCCCCCACCCCAGCAACCACCCCATAGAAAGAGAAACTCCACTGTGGAAGTAAAAGGGTAAAGAAATGGCTTCCACTTAATTCATACTAAATACACATACAACAGAACAGGTGAACAAAACTGTTCCACATCCACAAAGGACAATTTGTGATACCATTTGAACAAAAGCGAGCGCCTGAAGTGCGAGGGAAGGGTACACTGGAGTCTTGGAAGCTTCCTGTAGGGTACATGGGTGCTGCACTGCTTGGTGAGATGGGGCTGGATGGAGATTTCACCTTTTCCACATGATACTTGTTCTCAAGCATTGTTTTACGATCTTCTCGCTGTGGGAAAGCATTTTGAAGAAAAAGTAAGCCCATGTAGCAACAAAAACCAACAGTTATAAACTCATAAACTGTGGGAAAGTTAAACACAGTTTCAGCATTTCATCATTTTAGCCAGTCGTTTTCAAATCTCTAAATTCAAGCCCACAATTCTCAATTCAAGTCTCAACAATGAACCAAGCTAATAGTCAACAATACAAACTCAAAAGGTATTATAGATTTCTCAAATTGACAAATATTCACACAGAGATAAATGATGAAAAAAGGAGCAACAATGAAAGTATGCGTCCATCGTTTAATAGAATACGAACAAAAGCAGTACCTTATCTTTGACAGTACACACAAATATTGAGCAATTAGAAACGGGCAGCTTTAGAAGTATATGAAAGATCTAAAAGGCTAGAAAATTACCACTCAAATAGAATTCTTGTTGACAGGTGGAAACCTAATCAAAGACTAAAAAATACAAAATCTGTACTTGACACTGTCCTCAATCTCCAAGAAAAACATCACCTCCTTGAAAGACGAGAAGCTCTAGAAAAAGTCCCATCAACTCTCCCACCACATCTCACCATAGCAAAGCCAGAAATTAGGAAAACACTTTTAGACAAGAGCAATAAAAACACACATCCTGTGGCACTAAAATATTCTGCACTTGAAACAACTGATTCCTACCCACCAACATGGATCCACTCATAAACTGATGGATCTGCCTTTAAGGCAACAATCAAATCTGGATATGGGTCAGTGATCAACTTGCCCAATGGAATAAAAAAGGAAGTCTTTAATTCCAGCGGGTTCTTCTTCTCTAACTTCATTGCCGAACATCACCAACATAGCAAACTACATCAACTACTTGTTTGACACTAACCCACTTGCTACCACAGACATTTTTTATCTTTACAGCCTCTCAACACTAGAGGCACTTGAGAGTGGGACTGATGCGAACAAAGATATACCGCACTTGATTTGGAGTCTACATAATTTGATAAGTAGGCACCACATCAGAGTGGTCCTACAATGGATTCCTGCTCACACTGGGACACCGGGAAATGAAAGAGCTGATGCTCTAGCAAAGAAAGGAGCAAGCCTCCCTCAGCCTGATATTCCTATTGATTACACCACCTGCTGCCAAATGATCAAGTCAAACCTCAAAGAAGACTGGATGAACCCATGGGCCACAGGTATGACAGGAAGGATGATTTATGGCCACATGAATAAACCATAGGTCAAAGATCCAAATCAATGAGTTGAGGAAAGGACACCAATTCATAATCTTCGAACTTAGAACACAACATGTGCCCCTCAATCAAAATCTCAACCGTATTGGGGTAAAGCAGTCTGCTGCTTGCCCACTATGTGTCTACCTCTCAGAGACAACGGAACATCATCTGTTCTTCGGTAGAAAACTAACCGATTTGAGGGGATGTTTTCTTCCAAAGCCACCCCACACATCTAACTGCCTCTACTTCTCAAGACAACAGTTAGAACAGACATGCAGCTATTACAGAATTGCATCATGCAGAAGAGTTAACGCTCAGATGCTACTCGATCGCTAACAACAACAACATCTTTGACAGTACATCAACATATGAAGATACTTCCAGGATCCCAAAAAAGAAAAATTGAATCATATAATTCAAGCTCCCCCGCAACATTCCAACTGTGAGCATACAATAATTTTTTTTTAAACACACCCAACATTCTTTTAAAGAAAACTATCTTAATAATGGACAAGACAACAAGAAAAGTCCATTTCCAAAAGTTAATTAAACTTTTAAAAGAAGGATCATTGTTGTCTTCGAACATATTGCAAAAAATCTTTTTTTTTTCAAAATGTCTATATTTATTGGAAACCATTTAAAACTGCTTTTTCTCAAAAAGAACATCTGTACTCAAGAATAAAGTCTGTGCTATGATAAGATTCCATGATATTTTAACCAAGCCATAAAAAAAAATCTGCTAATAGTTGAAAACATTTGGGACGTAATACTTTTATTCATAATGTGAACTTTGTCACAGATATAGGTTAGACACTGAAAGGCAATGTCAGGTGTACTTTACTGACTGCATTTTGTTTAGATGAGCCGCACCCTTAGGTATGACACTACAACTTACCTGAGAAAATGATACTTCAAAACCTCAGTCCAAATTAAACAAAAACAAAATTTATTCACTAAAAAGCAATTTCCCTTTTAAAAGGACGGCCAATACAAAAAGACTCTTTCTGACATTCTTGCCTTCACAACACCAATTCAAGATGACTTTTTTTAAATATACATACGAAATACATTTTATTGTGCAATAAAAGAATAGTTCACTTAATAAATGAGCCTTAGAGTATTACAACTGAAACATGTATGAGAGGCATCGTGGTGAAACCGAGCACTCGCCAAAATAATAGCATTTTTCTTCCCATTTGGCAATTTTTATCAAATTGTTATCTTATGGTTCTACACCTTTTATGTCCACTTAAAAACACATTGCTGTGTGAGTTTACTGAAACACTTTGATTCAAGGCACAAAATATGTAACTTTACTGTTTTCAAGGACTCTTCAGCTTTAGGAGTTACCACACTTGAAGGCGCATTTTATCACTTATTTTGCCTCTGAAACGAGGTGAACCCCACCTCCTTCAATCCAAAATACCTCGACTTCTTTTGAAGATAGAAGGGTAATTTTTTTCATCGAAAGCAAGACAAATGACTTCCGCCCGATTCTACCACGTCATGACACATGACAATTTTTTATAAGGGGTTCAAGATCATGAAATTTCATCAAAGCATGTTAGTGTAGGACGGACAAGTAGTTGAAATCAGACATCTCCATATATCACTCACAGACTGTCCATCTTGAGGAGAAGAGTATGGTCTCGACTTCTCCATGATTGGCAGGATCTGCCGGAGACTCGTCTCCACACAGTTCATAAGCTGGTTCACAAGTTTCGTGGATACATCACCAAATGTCTGTAAGAAAAAGGAGATGTGTAAGCCTCCTGAGCAATGGCGAAACAGAATTGTCTTTCTATGACTTTAGATTTGAGCTACAGCTCACATGATTGATGATACAAAAGAAAACCATCAACCTCTTGATTCTGCCAAAGAAGCAATACATTTTTAAGTGAAGAAGGACGACTAATACTAATACAAATGTAAAAAAACAGAAATTTTTCAATGATTAACTAGGAAATTGAACCTCAGCATAATGCTACCAAAAGCACATCAGCACATGTTTGTGAATGTATAAACAGGAGCATAACCCTCAAAGAAAAACCAAGTAGATGCCAATACAGTAGTCTCCGCCTAAGATCCCACCGTTTACGATCCCGGTTCGCTTAAGATCCTGCAGTTTTAAGAAAACAGAATTTTTACTAAACAAAAGTCACCTCTACGAACCCGCTTTGATTCACTCTGAAGGTCTACATTTGGCTAAGATCCCGTATTTCTGATAATAATTTATGAATAAAAACCCGGGCGGGAAAAGTTTAGATCAATGAACTGTCCGTCGCGTCAAAGATCAGCCACTGTCGAGAATGCGATCACATAAGCCTAGTAAAACTCGAATGAAACGGTACAATGTTTGCCCCAGACGGGATCACACCGAAGTGTGAACTGACCGATGCGTTTGTTTTCCCCAAACGTTGCACCTGCATCTGAGCTCTCCACCTAAACTTCCATCAACTCTCCAGGCGGGATCACATGGTGCAGTGAACTCTTCCCTGACCATTGCAGCAGTTTTCTGTGAACCTTAACATGGGTCACCATAGACTCTTCCCTGGGTTCGTCGGCTAAGATCCCGGTTCGCCTAAGATCCCGCAATTTCCTTGCTCCGAGCACTGGGATCTTAGGCGGAGACTACCGTATAGAAAAAAAAAAATTATGCCTACCCTGGCATAAAGTCACACTCTATTAAAATTTAAGCTTCTGTGTCCCAACACTCATCCCAAACCACTTTCACAACACAGGAAATCTTTGTCTCATTCTCTCTGCGCAGCTTGTGAGAATCACACTGCCCTTTAATTTTTTCAGTCCAAGAACTGCAAAAATAGTGGCAATGAGAGAAGCCATGAAGACATTCATACATGTATTTAGTAGAGGTTTTATGGCGCTCGCAACTGCATAAGGTCATATGAGCATTCATCATACATGTATTTAAGACATACAGGGAGACAAGTACAGATAAACAAATGATGACTTTCACACTCTTTACCATATGAAACAGCAAGGAAAAATGTCTCCTTTTGAAAGTCATATAAAAATTCTCTTCCTTTTTCATTCACACACATGTGGATAACTTTAGAACGACAGATGTACGCCATTGGCCGATATTTATAGTAACAGCTATCTTGTTTGACGTCATTGAGGGATTCCCACTTTGAAGTCGTTCACTGTGGCAACACGACCGCAACGCACTATTGCAGTATTTTCAAATCCTGTAGCTTACAGTGATGTGGTGGCGGAGTGGTTAGTGCGCTTGCCTCCAAAGCAGAAAGTCCAGGTTCGAGCCTCTGTTCGGCCACGGATTTTTTTTTGGCTCAAAGATGTCAAACAAGATAGCTTTTACTATAAATATCAGCCAATGGTGTACATCTGTCTTTCTAAAGTTATCCGCATGTTTCACACACGTTCCTATAAGAGAAATTGAAACTTATCATCCACAAACCTTCACAACCCTGGCTTGTGTTTCTTTATCTAAATTGGACTGTATAATTGTCAAGGCAGGGCATATTTTCATTGGGTAGTTGGCAGGAAAGAACAGCTCTATGTCCATGAAGCTGACAGATCGCTCAAGTTTGAAAGAACATTTCCTCTTGGCGAAATCCACCTGAATACAGAGATGAGGAAACCTTAAGCGAGGTACATTATTTATACCTGATGGTAATCGTTATAACCAACAAAAACAACAAAAAAAAACAACAGAAAAAAAATTTCTACCCTGTATATACAAAGACAAAAGGATACAACATTTAAATGAAATACAATACGAGCATTACCAATTTCTGTTAAATATACTTAGTCCAATAAAACAAGGTCCAGATGCACTCTAGATGCAATTGTTCTAGACTTAATGCTTGTAACCTTTACAGCACCCTGTGAGGAAAATACTTGCAACTGGGCCTGGGGATACAAGAACCCGTGAGGAATATATGTGCGACTTGAGCTGTAAGTATTAAAAACTTGCAAGACAAAGATTTGTGCATTTTTTCTTAATCAACCATTTGATACAATAAAGTATACTTTTAGCAACGATGTATCATTCATCTTTTTCCACAAAATTCACATAAATTCTTAAACTTAACATACACATAAATTTTCTTGTTTTATACATTACCTGACATTACCCAGTGCTTCCACGAGCTGAAGCTGGAAAGTAAGGAAAATTTTGCCGGGGGTCTGGGGGCCGCAGGGTCCAGGGACCCAGCAGGGTCCAGGGACCCAGCAGGGTCCACGGACCCAGCAGGGTCCACGGACAGCGTCCCGTTGGGGGTTCAGGGGGCGAACCCCCTGAAGAAATTGAAATTTAGTGCTTTTAGAGGGTTAAAAATGGCATTTGGGAGCCTGTTTGAAGAGATTGCCTACAGCCCATAACATTAATTTTTTCACCAACATTTTGTCTTGTTTGATTTCTTCACCAATATATCTTTCCATTGCTGGGAATGTTTAAAAGCAGGTTCCCCTTTCATTGTAACTATAATTCAATTAATTTATCGTTGCACCATTGCTAGCAGGCCAACCTGGGAATAGTGAAAAGATACGTACTTTCACAATACAGTTGCCCAGCATATACCCTAATTTTTCCTAAATTTTCACGTCTGAATGTCGCCCATCACAATCTCAGAACACCAATTCAAATAATCCTTGATTTTACTTACGGCTGGATCGGGCTGATCGCTCAACTCAATCATTTGAAACTGAAAACAAACACGTTTGTTTTTTAGGCGACCGAGTCGGGCGATCAGCCCGATCGCATCCATAGTGGGCACCCCGTATCAGCATATTGTATTTCTTTCATCGCGGCCCGTATCGCATTCACATGCCGTAGAATCTTCACATTGATAATTTCTCTAGATCTAGACAAATTCACAAAAGAGTTTCTTTCTGACAGTAATTTTCTCAGATCACAACTCAATTTACTTGATCAAAGCGCAGATTTTCAGGTCGCGGCAACAATCCGAAGATAGACAGAAGGAATGAGTGAATGATAGAAAAGAGGAAATTGGCACAAAAAGTCCGCCAGATTTTGATCCATCAGCAGGTAAAAATGTACTGCGGACCAACCCGCAATGAATGCACAGGGCACAGGAGAATAATGGCCGACTCAGGGAAATGAACAATCTGGCAGGTTTCTATAACTTCAACTTGTTGTCGAGAGAATTACCATAAATATCCGTAACTTATACAAGACGATATGAAGGCGAGTACGGAATTTCGGTAGTCTTGCGCTGTCGCAGTTTTTTTACCGAGGGAGTTGATGATGATAGAACAAGTACGGAACTGGCAGAAAGTACGGATTTCCGTAAAAATACGGAAGAGAGGAAGCACTGATTACCAGGGCTGTCAGCTCCACTTTATTAATTCAGTACTTATTGATTTCACACATCGAACACCATTCATCCAAAGAGCCAAAATTATAAAGTAGAGAAAATATTCGTTGATAGTCATAAATCCCCTCAGCAGTGAAGCCCACAATGTCCTTAAAAAAGACATTTAAATTATTTCATTGTAATTACTCAAGTCTCTAAAGGCAGCACATCCAGTAATCCAGTATTTCTAATTCTAGGTAGATTGCAAGCTTAATATTTTACCTCACAGGTTCACCACATTTTTTTGGGGGGCCATATACCCACTGACATTTTACATCCTCTCCCCCCCCCCCCCCCCCCCCCCCCATTCCACTTCTGTGGAGTGATTCAAATTTTAGTATTCTTTTCAGCTACATAAAAATTCAAACAAACAGCTATCTTTCTTCAAAGTGAAACCCTAATACATTGTCATGTGATGCAGAATAAAACAGAAGAGTGGAAGTGAGACAAAGCTAACCCGTTTTAAGTGAACTCCTGGAAACCCCCCTGACAAGTTCTCTATCTCCCGCTCCAGGGGCACGAACACAGTAGAACTCGAGCCCGTCATGGCAGAACTGTTGCTGGACACACTGTCTGCCGGCCGCAGCAAGTTGCTGCTGCTGGAGGTGACCGGCTTGTTGTCCCGGTCTATCTGGGTGCTCATGGAGTCCATGGCCCGCGCCGTGGCAGACATGGGCAGGAGGTCGTCGTCCTGCACCTCGTCCATCACCTCCCCGACCTCGTGGCCACACAACTGGGGAGACACAACAGTCAGCTGCCGTAAGAACAGGCATTTGTCTGAGGTAAAGAGAAGCACACTGACATGCATTAGACTGAGGTAAAGAGAAGCACATTCACATATGCAGTCAAACCTGTGTAAGACGGCCACCCATTGTCATGGAGAAAAGTGGCCGTACAAGACAGGTGGCCGTCTTAGGCAGGACTGATCAAGATAAGGAAAACAAACCATTCCCATCTGAGGTCCCAATCGAAAGTAGCCGCATTGTTGTTTTTGTTGTTTTTGGTTTGTATTTTGTTTGTAATTTTTATTTTGTTGCTGATTGTGCACAAGGGTGACAATAAAACCAAATGTATCAGACAAGGAAGACCGAGTGCCATGTTAAAACAAACACATGGGTCGCCACCTCTCGGAGAACGAGAGACGCTTCTGTCACAAGTTCATATTGACGTTCTTTGTTACTTTGTTACAGACTGGGTAAACAGTGACCACTCATCTCCCTTATGATTTGTGTATGAGTTCTGGACTGGACTTATGGGTTATGAGGGATCACATGTTTACCTCACCAGCAGCTGAAAATTGGTAGCTGTTGGTCAACAGTGGGAGGGGCCTACGCAAAAAGATCAGTTGGAGGGACTACCTAACAACGACAGGCGATTGAATTATGACGGCTCGCCCACAACGCCAGGGACCAATGCACAATTTATGACAAAACGTAGTGGAGTCACTAAGGTGGCCGTCTAAGACAGGTTTTATTGCTTCGTGTGATAGGGGTTGTGTGTTAAATTACGGTGGCCGCAACCGCGTTGGACAGGTGCCCGTTTTACATAGTTAAATTATATAGAAAAAACGCAAGGGGGGAAATGGAAAGTGGCCGTTTGTACAGGTGGCCGTCTTATAGAGGTGACCGTCAGGGCAGGTTTGACTGTATTTGTCTACGGTAAAGAAAAGCACATTGACATATATTTGACAGAAGTAAAGAGAAGCACATTCACATATATTTGTCTAAGGAAAAGAGAATCACATTCACATATATTTGTCTAAGGAAAAGAGAAGCACATTCATATATATTTGACTGAGGTAAAGAGAATCACATTCACAAATATTTGTCTACGGTAAAGAGAAGCACATAGAACATATAAAGGCCATCTGGAGCTGGAAAACAAACAAACAAAACTAACCAAGTTAAGTTTGAGTAAATAGAAGCACACCAACACAATAACAGTCATTTGGTGAAGGGAAGAAGCAAGACAGACGACAGAAACAACAGAGGGAAAGAGAAGAAATTGGACCTACCAGAAACCTCTCCAACCACCCACAAAACAGACAGACAGACAGACAGACAGACAGACAGACAGACAGACAGACAGACAGACAGATAATAAAGAAGTAACTCCCTTTAACTCCTTTCTCTGACAATGCTAGACTAACAAAACAGAATAAATCTGTCAGGCTTTGCTAGGTCAAAGACACACTAACGGAAACAGGAACAAAATTCAGTCTTCAAGGGCACTCTGTCTCTTTAACTTTTCTCGGATGTATCACGATCGGATGTACCACTGATATATCGGCAATTTGAACAGAGACTACAGGTTTTTTTTAACATCATTTCCATTCTATCGCTTTTTGCAACATCAGTGAACATCAACATTCAAATACCTTTCCAAAGATATATGACATGCCACTACAATGTTTTGAAGTTTTAGGAAGTGTTTTACGGCACTTGCAACACAATATGGTCATTTAAGTGCCGAAGAATAGAGTTGTTACAAGAGAGTAACAAACACAAAAAAGAAGGAGGGGAGATAAGGACAACAGACGTTTTGATAGAAAAGTAGAGGCAAACCACACTAGAGCACACGCCAACCACCCATCTACAATGTTTACTATTCCATCTGTAAAAGCCCTTTCATTTCCATATCCACAAAATGATTAGCGGGGAAACAAAGAATTACGTCCATATGGTTTCAACAGCGCAAAAAAAAATTTGTTGTACTGAATGAGTTGAGATCAAGGAAAAGTAACACACTTAGGATCCAAACCATAGCAGCTTATCTCAGAGCCTCTGCTTTTGAAAGTCCATAATCTATTTGCTTAGAACTGTTCAAACTTTCAACTAACTTTTGAGATAAAAATAAGTGATCTAAAGAGCTTAACTGAACAACTATCCCTGAAAAGAAACACAGCAGGACACTGCTACTGTCATTTTATTTCAGCACCAGATGGTTGTTAAACGTTCATACATTGGAATTTGATTTTCGAAAATCCAAAAATGCCACATTCCGCCTTAAAAATAGGATAAAAGAAAAAGGGGAGGGAGGGAGAGAGAGAGAGAGAGAAAGAGAGAGAGAGAGAGAAAGAGAGACAGAGAGAGAGAAAAGGGGAGGGAGGGAGAGAGAGAGAGAGAGAGAGAGAGAGAGAGAGAGAGAGAGCAAGAGAGAGAGAGAGAGAGAGAGAGAGAGAGAGAGAGAGACATGTATCTCTGACTATAGACACCTTCAAACCACCATTTCTACACCAGAAAATACACCGTTAGGTTACCTAAGAGAAATTATCTTAATGGCAAATCCACTTAACAAATACCCAATAAATACGAGCAAAACAACTTCCCTGAGGACAGTTCAGAGTAAAATACTGCTTTCAGGATTCTGAAATCAAGCATTCTTAAAACGCTGAAACCAAGAGAGAAACCCACAAGCTGCACACATCCACAAGTGGAAAGAAGCTTTTAAGTGCTCAAAATGTGGCAAACTTTCTTTTCCAGAATTGGTACCATTGGCCATAACAGAAGCCACAAGTCATCTAAACCTTTAAAGTAAAGGTTCCGTATAACTTAAGAAATATTCTGCTCTGCCAATGCATTGGTCACAGTTAGACATTGACCACAGAACTATCATTAAAATCATTATTATAAACAAAACAAAACATCATCCACAAACAGTAGGAGATGACTCATATTGTACCACACCTACCAATTAAAGCTAAATCAAATGTTCATCAGGGTATCCTGTCCCCAGCCATACTGATTGAACAGCAGATCTGACCCAGGTTATCTCATGGGGCATCTCTGATTAACTGGCCACACTTGCCGTTAATGAGAAAGGTTGAATGTTTATGAGAAGAGCAACTGAGTGCAAAAAAATGTTTTATTTTTAGTAAAAGTTTTATGGCGCTTTCAACACAGTAATGTCATATAAGAGCTGAAGATTAGAGGTGCTACAAGAGAGTAACAAACACAAAAAAGAAGGAGGAGAGATAAGGACGATAGATGTTTGAAAGGAAAGAAGCAGCACATCAACAGAATGAGAATAACACCCTTTGAGAGTAGAAGAAAAGAAAGACACACAGACTCAACAGATGGAAAGAAAAAAAGACATACTAGTGCAACATATGAAACATCTTTTATAGACAATATAACTATATCAGCAGCAGAGGTCACACTTTTTTATCGGGAAAATCTGTATTTTTGGTATCAAGTTGTCTAAGAGTGTTCTATCTGCCATCTGGCAATCATAAGGAATTACAAGTAACTTGTATTCAAGTACAGCACTAACTCACACAAAAATCAGGCCTTCCATGTGTGACAGAAAAGTAATTTTAGTGAGAACTTAGAGATCAATGAATGTGGACATTGATGATCAGAGATAAACAAGGTCACACAGATTTTGCTTGTTGATACACATATCTCTCCATTAGCAAGCTGTTCTCCCACACAAAGTCAGTGCCTGCAAACCCATTTCAGTGTTGTACATCCATTTACATTATCACCAAAAATCTAATTATAAAGATATCAGTCTATATGTGCCTCTTTTCCTTTGATATACGAGAAATGAAATGGCAGAAATCTGCAAACATGCACATTTTAATCAGGGTAATTATATACAGATGAGCAACTCAACCTGTATAAATATAAACTGAAAACTATTAATGCTCAAACCATCACTCGTGTTTTAAACCAACACACAGTCAACAACGCTGAAGATACATCATGAAGGTCCTACTCTCTACACTGGCCCTCATCATGATGATAGGCTACAGTCACCAGGAGGCGCTTTGTAGACCAGAGGACATGGAATGTCAGGTAAACTTGCACATAAATCATTCATTTCAGCAAGCTAAACCCAACGATTTTACCTTCATAAAGAGATCCAAAATGTTAGTTAAGAGTCTATAAAGTTTATTTAGGCACAGTTAATTTATTTGTTCATTTGTTGTTGTTTTTTTGTTGTTGTTTTTTTAGGCGGGGGGTTGCCATTGTTGACAACGTGCTTCCATTATGAATCCTTTTTCTCATTTTACTGAAACCTGCATCTGTAATGTAATTGGTAGGCACATCTCTGTTGAATGTACAAGACATGAATTCAATTCCCCAAGTGAGCCAGTCATTTTATTTTGCATCTCTGCATCTATCTGCTGGGATACTATATATACCACCCAGCCTAAGATGAAACATCCTACTTCCTACAGGATCTAAATTGTATGTATCGATGGGGGTGGGTAACATTTACAGCTTTATCATTTTGATGGCCTTCAGGAAATTTGAAACTAAACTTAATCATTAAGTTAGGAAGTAAATTAAGAGTCAACATAAAAAGGAAATGGATAAGACAAATATCTACTCGTGCGTAACCTACACAGACATCAGCATTTCAACAATATTTTTTGAAGAATCAGGACAGGAACCTTGAAGGGACAATATAAAGAAATCCAAGATTTCATGTTGAGCCATACCATATTTTAAAAAAAAGTAAATTCACAGAAACTGTGTGATCCTTTGGCTTATGAAACTAACTGACTCTCTTTATACTTCAAATAATCAAAAAATATTCCAAATGGAAAACATGGAATCAGTCTTTATATAATAAGAAGCCAAGACTTAATGGATCTTTTCAATCTACTTTTAGGTACAAGGAAGACATGTTTATTTTTTCCAAAACATCAACAATGAATTATCTCCTTTTTATTGGGCGGAGGGGGGGGGGGGCATAACAGAATATTACAAAAGTGTTTGTGCTCTTGTTCATGAGTCTGGAACTTACCAAAAAAAAACAACAAACACTGTAAAAGGCCATCACAGGACATGGTTTGTTCAAACTTGTGACACAGAGGGGCCTGACATTTACCAAAAAGTGACAGACTATGGAGCTAAAACAGTACCACTTAACTCCTCTAAAACCCAGTTCTCTGGAAACACTTTTGTTATTTTCCTTTTTGACTGACTATAAGGATAAACCGGAAAATAAAGAAAAAAAAGTAATGTAGCAAAAGAAACATTATGAAACAAATACAGTTTCAGGGACACTTGGATAGAGGCCTTGAACATTTTGCTCTAACTGAAAAAACTGAAGGCAAAAGAGAGAGGGCTAGACCAAGAGCTTAGAAAAATTTGAACACATGGATGACAGAGAATGGCAAACCATGACTGTCAATGTTTGTTTCCGATTTGCCACTTCATGAGGATTATAAGACTGTTACAGATAAAAATCCCAGCAGATACAGAAACCCAATTCCTACTTGAATGGAGTTAGAAAAAAAAATATGTAAAGAGTCTTTCCCAAGAATATATCTCTGCCAGAGCAGCCAACAATCAAACCAACGGCCTGCTTGAGTTAAAAAGAAAGGCGGCAAAATCATAAAGGCCAATTCCAGCTCAGAAGAAGCAGGATAGACAGACCAACAACAGACGGATAGAGCACAAATAATACCTATATACGGCACCCTTAAACCCCTCACTACCACTCACTGTGAGAATGTTCTCCCCCTTAACTCATAAAACAAATAACATGTTGCCTTCACTATTCAGGTTGGGAAAGACCAGTGCTGCAACAACTTGGTCTGCAGGGAAAAGAATCCCGCATCTCCCAAAACAACATGTCAGGAGAGAGATACAACATGCAGGGCAGAAGACCAGACATGCGACCAAGACCTCAACTCCAGATGTTGTGCAGGTAACTTGGTTATTGTTGTCCTGGTAACTTAGTCACACTGTCTCAATGGAAGTTTCCTTGATTACGTTTCAAGCCCTTTCAGTACAGTTTCCAAGAAAAAAACCAGAGGAAACTTCAGAGGATTCTTCTAGGTTATTCTGAGAATCATTCAATGAAAAGAAATTGTTTTTTTAACCTAACTTTCAACACAGTAAGGTCATTGAAGCTCATAATGTAATGCCCTTCTCCAACAAGACTGAGCAGAAAGTAAGCAGAAAACCTCAAAGACTTCACAAACAACCAAAACCAAGGAACACGCTACTGGGAATTCAAACCGGGGCCATCTATATCGTTTCTCCTGAACAAAATAAACATTCATCAGAGTCCTAAAATGTATGCACATTTTCAAGTAGTCCAAAGAGTAATATTCTTACAATATTTATACAGTCTCAATACTAACAGTTACCTCTAGAAGCAAGCGGATCGTTTCAAACTTCTGCCCTCTTCTATATAGCCAGTGCTCAGATGGAACTTTGCTAACTCGATTTTTTTTTTAAATCTTTGTTGATTTTTTTTAAAAATCTTTGTTTTGTACCAAAAGATTCCTGACACCTCGCTACAAAATGTATATAAATAATAAATCGAGATTCAGATTACAAATGTTCACAAATGCACTTTAAATTCTGCGTGAACCTCACTATCCAACACAATTACATAGGTGATCTGTTGAACCAACAACCATAAAAAGGGATAAGTGACCTTCGAAATTGCTAATACATAAATACAAATATATGGTCTACAAAACGAAATACTTTTTTAATCTTTGCTTTAAGTACAGAATAGAAAACTTCACTCATTTTTTACAAAGCACAGTTCCCAACAGACTCTACAACAGATAACACCCCCACCACCTCCCCCCCATCCCCACCCCAGGTAATTTGAACATTCAAGATGCAAAGAAGCCCCCCTCTTCTCCAACTCCCACACTTCAACTAGGTAAACCCATCATAAAAGTTAACCTTTTCCTTCTCGGCAGGTATGATATGCGAGAGAAACAATTTGGGTGTTAAGAGATGCAAACAGGTTGAGCTATGTAAAACCCTTGGCAATTCCTGTACTCCTGGCCTAACGAGTGAGTGCTGCTCTGAACTGACGTGTCAGCTGAAGCCAGGAAGCATCCTACAGCACGAGTGCCAACCCAACTGTAAGGGAAGTAACGAGAAGTGTACGATTGGCGTCAACAACTGCTGCTTCCCTTACAAGTGCAAGCAAAAGGGGGGACTTGCCGGAACTGTGTGTCTTCTCTAAACATCAAAAGCACTAAAACCCAACTGCCATCAAGAAAACTCAGTAAGAGACCCTTGAGGCAAATGGAAAAGATGACTGATGAAAGCAACAATGCATTGCAGCGATTGCAAGGGACAGAATTTCCTATTTCACAAAAAGTCTATAGACCAGTTGAATAAACAAAATTATTGCAAAAATGATCGGATTTCTATTCCTTGAGCTTGTTTGCTTATTATTGGTTTCTTCTAGTATAAGAAAGGAAAAGCTCCATCACACACTAATGGTCATTTAATGCAAGAGAAAGCAAAACAGGAAAAAAAAACCAGTACCTACCACTGGCTCCAACATTAGCACATTTGTTTCTCTTCCTAAGTTTTTCACAGATTTATCTAAACAGTAGTGACATACACTCAATTTTAGAATCTGCTACTTTTATAGCTGTATATAAATTTCAGATTCTGTTCTAAAACAGAACCTTATTCAAGAATAAAATATCAGTATTCATATTGTTTGAACAGAGTAGAAGTGCAGCAGAAGAGAAAGTCCAACTTTTACAGTAAACAAAACAATCTCCATCCAACAGTTAGCATCTGAGTCCTAAGATGTACATAAATGGCCCTTCAATACATTACTTTTTACATTTAACCTGTCTCTCTGATAAAAGAGCAAAAATTGTAAATGTACCATGCAAGAGCCAATCTGGACAAAGTATACTGATAACTAAACCCTTTTCCTGTCTTTTTGAGTGTTAGTGTTTTATGACACAACACAATAAGGTCATATAAGTGCCGAAGATTAGAGGTGTTACTAGAGAGTAGCAAACACAAAATAGAAGGTGGGGAGACCAAGACGATAGACATTTGAAAGGAAAGAAGGAGCAAACCACACCAGAGCACCTGCCAACCCCCCACTTTTCCTGTCTGAACCAAGATCATCTCAAACTGTCCAGTAGAATTAGAGAGCTGACCAAACAGTGAAGGAACTAATTAAAATAACCAGACAAAGAGTATTGAAGACCCCTTACTTCCCCACTCAGAGTTGTGTTCGTTTTGAGAAACCATAAATGCATTGATACGAAAAGTCATTTAGTCCTGGGAATGAGCAAGACGGATAAAAAAAACAAAAGAAGTGTGACCAATCAGTGGAACCCTTGAAGTGTTGGGAGAAGCATTCCGTTAACAAAAGTAAAAAGTGGGAGGTCTTTGCAGCATGGGTATGCTGACATTTGTATGATTACATTTATTTTGGGGACCTAAAAAGAGAAGCAGGACAAAAAAAACAACTTGTGAAAACAGTTGACTTCAACAGATCCATCTCTATATATATATACCATGACATTATGTAAAAAAAACCAAAAAAAACATTATAATTCATAAAAATGCAAGTCTATATGAAAAAAAGCATATTCACGGCTGTTACCAACCGCCAACTTAGTTAAACCGCCAGCTCGCGGCACTCCCCGTAACCCGATACTCTGTGACCCCGGTCACCGGGTCAGCGCCCCTGGTTCACTGCCAAAGCCCAGTTTCGGTTGTTTTCTTAGTTTAGTTTTAATAAGAGTTTTACGGCACTCGCAACTGCATACGGTCATATGAGCGCCAGAAGATTAGAGGTGTTACAAGAGAGTAACAAACACAAAAAGAAGGAAGGGAGATGAGGACGACAGATGTTTGATAGGAAAGAAGGAGCAAACCACACCAGAGCACCTGCCAACCACCCACTTGTTTTCTTATCACACGATGTTTTATAAGCATATAAACTGAGATAGTAAACAAAAACTATTCTAGTGATCTCACAGAAATCACACACACTGAACGATCAATATAGTGTGGGCATGTAGAAGCGATCATGAAACTGTACTGGGTATTGTTACAGACTTACAGTTGCCATAAAACTGTATAGTAATTATGCAAAGTTGTTAAGGGGTCAGATGTTTTAAGTAAAAATAGAACATGATTTTATCCTTTGATTTTGACAAAATTACAGTAGCATGATGAAAATAGGATAAAGAAAACACTCATGTGGTGGCACCATTGTACGCTCCGTCAAAGCATAGATATTGGAGCTTGAATATAGAATCACAGAAAATAAGTGTGTGTGTGCGTGTGCGTGTTGTGTGTGTGTGTGTGTGTGTGTGTGTGTGTGTGTGTGTGTGTGTGTCATCACAGAGCACTTACTACTCATTTACACATGTACAAGCATATATGTAGGCCTACCCCTGAAACTAGGAAAATTCGTCAGTCCTGCGTCGTTTTCCTGCGTTTGACTGTTTAATTTTCTCCTAACTAAATGAGTATCAAGTTTTTTCTTCTTCTTTTGTTAGTGGTCGCGTTGGAGAGATCTCTAGAGACTTAGAAAAGAGCCTGCTGTGTTTAAATGCGGGAGACGTGCTGCTATCTACCACAAGCTGTGTAGGTTTGGATGGCGTGGATATAGCAATGGGGGAAGGGGGGGGGGACTTGAAGCTCAACCTCACAGTGGCCTATGGTTGATGATGCAGCGCTAGTGTCGAGAGATGCTATGTCTTCCTCCTGCCTTTCTTCATGCCTAGTATTGTCCTCTCTCTCAGTGTGTGTGTGTGTGTGTGTGTGCGTGTGTGTGTGCGAGCGTGTGTGTGTGTGTGTGTGTGCGTGTGTGTGTGCGTGCGTGCGTGCGTGCGTGCGTGCGTGTAGATGGCTCTGTAGTTGAGTTGTTTGTTGAGTTTGCCGAGTCTCCAAGTGGGTGGTTGGCGGGTGCTCTGGTGTGGTTTGCTTGTTCTTTCCTATCAAACATCTATTGTCTTTATCTCCCCTCCTTCTTTTTTGTGTCTGTTACTCTCTTGTAACACCTCTAATCTTCTGGCGCTCATATGACCTTATGCAGTTGCGAGCGCCATAAAAACCTCTACTAAAACGAGTCTCCAAATGTATGTGGTGAATGTGTTGTCTGTAGTTTCCGATGCTTTTGTTGTTTTGAATTCTACTGGAATGTTCTTGCTCCCCATTGATGTGCGATGATAGTGTGTGCATATCAAACAGTCACTAGCACGTATATCAGACCGAAAAGCTGTCCACAAATTTTAGTAGGTTTCAGCTGCTTTTCTTGTCTTACTATAGATCTAGTTCCCGCATACGAATGTGTCCTACTGCTATCGTAACCGCAAATACCAACAAGATATAATGTGCAAAGTCAATGCATTTGTACACTTTTCTCTTTTTCAATTTCTGCTTTCTTGATAGACTTCTACCACCACATGTTCTACAAAGTTCATGAATATACCGAACATGGGACACTTCACCATGGCACTCCATTATGAATATTAATGTTTCCATACTCCACAGCAAAAAAAAGCAGGAGAAATGCAAACAAGGCAAATGAGGATTGGGGTACTTTCACCTCCTAGGTCTACACAAAATCGATCACTATGAATCACACAAAATATGTACAATGTTCTTACTTTCACATGTAACTCAGTACTCTTTATTCAAGAGTAATCAAGATAAAAAAATTAATTGTAGGTCAGGTTACTGAGAAAAATAACTTCAAATAAAAATAAATAGATAAAAGTTGCTTTAAAAGTAATAAAGGATGGAGAGCACTTCTCAGCCAGCAGGATTAACACTAATGAATGCACACCAGAGAAAATTATATTGTTCTGTTGGGTTAAAGTAGAACTTTAAAATGAGACCCCATATGGAGACATCGCATCTTTAGATCAGGAGATATTGGGGATCAAATTAACCGAAAATGACTGGAATCAAGTTTCCTGAGCACGGCCGAGGCGCGGCCGGAGTGCCGCTGCCGTCACGGTACCTTGCACGGCTGACAGCTGATTTATTACCATCTCGGGGTGGTCGGTGGGAAGCCCTTGCCCGGTAACTAAACTGGCGGTTTGGGGGCAATTTAGACAGCCGTGTATTATGTATATAAATTGTGCTCCAATGCCCTTGTCACCTCATAAGTAGAAATGTTAAGTTGCAGTCTACAATAAGACAGAAAGGGAAATGGAAGGAGCAGAATCTGTATCTGACCCATTTATATTTCAGTATCTATCAGAAAAGTCAAGTTTTCCCTCACTGAATATACATATAGTACGATCTAAAAAGTAGTGTTCACTCTCATATTCAGAGATTTCATGTTTATTTCCTGTATTTGTCCATGCAGTTTTACCATGTTACATGTTACTTTGTAAGAGAGTAAGGGAGAGTGCAGTAGAGGAGACTGAAAAAGATGTGTATTTTAGGGGTATGGGATATCAGTACAACAAGATTTTAGAACCTATTCATACGATTCCTTTGAAAGAAAGACTCATCAGATGGTACAATAGGTTCAGTTGCAACCTGTTAAAGACTTTTTTTTAAAATTATGTGACATTTTTCATATTATTACCTTCGAAGTGCTTTACAGTGAGCTTTTAGGCAGGAAATTTCAGTATTCTAGCAAGTCGCAAGTCGAAAAACAACATACATCTCACTTATTATGAACAGTCTAAAAAAGCCTCCATCAGGTTGCAGTGGCCTGTACTGTGTCTGTTTTGTGAAAATATGAATCCTGCACATTCATAAATAACAAAATACCCCCCCCCCAAAAAAAAAAAACATTTTTTAAAATGTTCCCTGAGTGCAGAACTATAGTACATTTCACTAAGTACTTGATCCCCAGAGTCATAAAATGGAATAGGGCGCTCAGTAGTTCAACGGGTTTGGTGTTTGATGCCTATCAGTCCGAGGGTCAGGAGTTTAAACCCCATCTGCATCAGTTTTTGTTTTTTTCCTCAGGTTTCCTACATCCCCAGATCCTTAGGAAGGTAGGATTGAGTATTTGTCTTCTGAGATAAGGACGATAAATTTCACAGAGTGAAAGTTTTGTATGTTAAAGATCCCTTGGCAATTTTAAAATCGAAAAGAGCTGGCCTTTCACGGTGCCGTCCAGACCCCTATTTAAAATTAGTTCCTACCAGAAACTGAAGCCACGGTAGTCTGTACAAAATAATAAGGCAATGGATGTTTCTATGTTCTATGTAGATAAAACAGCCAAGTACATAAAAATCAACTGTACTACTAGTACTAGGGGATTAATATTTTGTAGTCATTTACTCCCTAAGCTCTCGCAAGGGTTAGAGAAGAAGATGTATAATCATAGTCATACATGTACATGTAGATATATAATCATAAAACAACTGCCAAGTTTGCGCATGACAAATTTTGAAATTTATATGTCACTCTTCCCGAACATTTTACCTTTTGCATGGCTGTGTCCACATTCCATAACCGCAAAGTCTGGTCTTTTGACCAAGTGACTAACTGTTGATCCCGAGCGCCTGTGAAGTGACAAGACAGAGTTTTGTAGAGGAATGTATTGATAGGTTTGAGACATGGAGAAGCGCGTCAAAGCAATCATCACCGCACAAAATTGGAAATGCAAAGGCACCAAGAAAAATTATATACAGTCGAACCTGTGTAAGACGGAATCGCAAGGGAGCCTGAAAAGTATTCCGTCTTAGACAGGGGAATTTAGGGGGAGGTGGAGGTTGGGGGGAGGGGGTTCAAAGGCCCAGCCGGTGGGATCAAGGATCGCTTGTCCGATCGGCAAGCAGTGGTCAAAACTTCACACCTCTCAATTGCTATCCTGTCTAATAATGACATGGGTCAGTCTTACTTATTCAATTACCACCAGTGCTAGCCTTTCATAGGACCACTGTCTCCTTTGATTCCACCCTTAGCCCCACCCACCAATGCCACCCCTCACTGCCATCATGTAACAACAATTCGAGGAACTCTTTTCTCGGCTGGCCGTACGATCAGGGCGGCAGGCATTGATCAATCTAATTTCACACCTCTGGCTTCTGGCTACCCAGGAAAATTTCCGCAGTGGCTCGCTACTTAAGCACGCTCACAAGAAGTCGTGAGATTTCACACCCACACTACAATGACCATCTGCATCACTCAGGGCTCACATGACGAGATAACATCTACCCCAAATTGCTCCCCTACTCCTCTTCCTCGCCCAGCGGCATGGCCATAGTATCATAGCGCCAAGTTTAGAGCGAGTTTTGTTTCAAATCAGGGTTGAGCGGGCAAAGCATTTTCCGTCTAGGTGAAACCCTCGGAAGGGAGCGGATTTTTCTTTCCGTTTCCGCGTTGGGCAGGTTTCCATTTTATACAGGTAATTAAAGAGGAATATATCAAGGGGGGATCAGGTTGAGACAGGTTTCCATTTTATACAGGTTTCTGTTAAGGCAGGTTCGACTGTATTTATATAATATATATTATATGCTTCATAATAAAAACTGTCAAAACATGTGAAAGAATAATTTCATTCAATTTTCCCTGACATATGAGAGTAACAATGTTTGTGTTTTAATTTGTCGATCTCAGAGAAAATGATGAACTAAAACAGTGACCACTTGATTGTTATTCAGTAATCCCATATGGCCCAACATATACTACATTAACCACAGAGCACCTACCTTGAACATTAATACAAAACAGTCAAACAACCCCAATGACACATCCCCTTGTCGACACAAAATCAACTACAAGCAAGCACAACAATAAGAGAATACAAGACAAAGTGTTAATTTTCCAGTACGAACAAAATACACATAACACCCAAATCATCCATTTGTAGAGAAGAACCAAATGAGAAGTTCATCCAGTAGTTTTTTTAATGTGATCACAGCTATGTTCATAGCTTCACAAGAAATATTTTCCTGTTGGATGTTAAGGGTTTGGCAGAGACTTTTGAATTTGGAAAGTGAACAAAAACATATAAACCCCTGACCTTGTTCTTCACTCACAATGCTGATATCAATATTGATTGTTCAAAAGTGACACCAAAAAAAAAAGAAAGAAAGGTTTCATACATGTTATGTTCATTGAAAAATAATGGGAAAAAAAGTGAAAAATCATGGACTCGTAACTCTAATGATGATTCATTTCCACTTATTTTACGTGAACCTTTCTTTGAAACAGCCAATTTCATATGAATCTTTAGATAAGTGTCAACGGAATTGTTTTTAATAATCTACCGTTTAAATCGATCACATGGAGCCCATATGAAACTGACAGGGGGCTTTGAGGAGCAAATAATGTCCTCTGACAAATGGGAGCAGGTAAACGTCTGTATTGAGTACCAATTAATTCGAGGCAAAAAGTGACTTGACGTTACAGGAAATAGCGAAGAAGAAGTAGACAATTATTGGGGGCTCTCGTGGCCTAGGGGTTAAGGTGTTCACCTCTCATTCAAAGGCAACGGGTTCGAATCCGGGTAGCGACCGAAAAATTTTCTTCTCTAAAATTGTTTGTCTCCTTTCACCTCCTTTCCAGCTCTCCAGCAATGTTCTGTCATTTGCTTTCGTCCCCACTTTCTGCCCCCACCTCCTCACCACCTTCGCCCCCTCCTCTGGACGCCGGACTCTTTATGCAGCCTTTCCCTTTCTACTGCTTCTACTTGGCCCTGTCTCGGACAAGGGCGAAAAATCTCGGAGGTCCCGTGTGCAAGTGCACACGTTAAAGATCCCTTGATGGTCTAAAATCAATAAGAGTAGGCTTCGGCCGCCACCTGGGCAAAATTCAAAATTCCCTACTAACTGACAAATGTGTTCCGTGTGCTCATATGACCTTATGCAGTTGCGAGCGCCATTTAACACTTTAAAAAAAAAAAGACAACTATTACGAGGAAGTGAGAGGGAAAACATAAAAACTTCAAAGATTCTTGAAACCACAAATGTCATCACTGATTAGCAGACACTTCTGCAATTAACAGTTTACATGTCTTGAGATGCCCACAGAACCAAATTGTTTACTGTCCGTTTTCTTCATTATCATCAGAGCCTTTTCAACACTAAGGGTCATTTCAAATTTAATTTTGGAGACAGAAACTTCAAAAGCAATCTTTTAACTTGAACATTAAGTAGAAAATATAACATTCAATCCCAAATACGTCTACACAGCAGTAAAGGGGTTAATAAATTCAACACTATTATGTAAAGATTTCATGCCCATTCCAGTTAATAAAACATAAAACAGATGAATAAATGTTAAATAAGAAAAGACTTTTTTTCTTAATCACAAACATAAAAAAAGCTAGAACAAACACTCACTATCGTGTTGTTTCCGCCGCCATTGAAAATCCAGAATGACATCCTTGTGTCCCACAAAAATATGTACCGGTTTCTGATTGTTGCTCTGATGCCAGAGAGAGAGGCTGTTCTCACCACGTCTCAGCTGTGGGACCACCACACTCATCACACCGTCTCCAAATGGCTGGAGAGGAACCGCACAGGAATGATAATTACCCATGAGCTTACAAATAAAAATGTTCGACCCCTTCTTCATGTGGACAAATTATTAGAATCTATTATTCCTAGACATGTCAAAAAGAAAAAAAACAACTCCCAGTCAACTTTTACGTTTTTTTAGTAGAGGTTTTACGGCGCTCGCAACTGCACCAGAAGATTAGAGGTGTTACAAGAGAGTAACAAACATAAAAAAGAAGGGGAGATAGGAAAGAAGAAGCAAAACACACCAGAGCACCCGCCAACCACAGGAATTGTTTTTGTTTTAGTAGAGGTTTTACGGCGCTCGCAACTGCATAAGGTCATATGAGCGCCAGAAGATTAGAGGTGTTACAAGAGAGTAACATACACAAAAAAGAAGGAGGGGAGATAAGGACGATAGATGTTTGATAGGAAAGAAGAAGCAAACCACACCAGAGCACCCGCCAACCACCGCCAACCACAGGAATGATAATTACCTATGAGCTTACAAACAAAAACATTGGACCCCTTCTTCATGCAGATATAATATATTATTAGAATCTATTTATTTCTAGAGGTACCAGAGAAACAAAAAAAACAACAAAAAAGCCCCAGTCAATTTTGAAAAAAAGGAAAGCACATCAACAGAATGAGAATAACACCCTTTGAGAGTAGAGGGAAAGGAACATACACAGACTCAACAGATGGAAAGATAAAAAGACATACCAGTGCAACATGTGAAACATCTTTTCTAGACAATATAACTATACCAACAGCAGAGGCCACACTTTTTTATCAGGAAAATCGGTATTTTTAGTATCAAGTTGTCTAAGAGTGTTCTATCTGCCATCTGGCAATCATAAGGAATTACAAGTAACTTGTATTCAAGTACAGAACACAAAAATCAGCTCAAGAAAGGGTGAGAGCCCGATAAAAATGTACTTACTGTGTACCTCGCCCGCCACACGGGATTCCCTGAGTTGATCATGGTCTCACTTCTCCGTGGAGTATTGTAATCCCAAAACTGGAAAATTCATTACCAAGGTCATTCTCCAAATGGAAGCACGAAAAAAATCCTACAAAAAACAATTATTCTCAACAAAATTTTAGGGCCCTTTCCCTAACTAGCTTTTAGTCATATTTTAGAGATATCACTGACAAATGTGAGGCATTATGGCGAAATCAAGTGCTCGTCAAAATAATGCACTTGAAGAAATTGGCATTTTTCCGCCGGTTCAGCTATTTTTATTGAATTTTTTTTTTTTGGCTGAACACCTTTTTAAAGCATGTATATTTTCAGTTTTCAAGGACTCTAAAGCTTTGGAAGTCACCAAACTTTGGAAGCCATTTTCTCGATAATTTTACCTCTGAAACCCGATAACTCCCACCTCCTTTAATCACAAATATCTCTACTTCTATTCAACACAGACAGGCATTTTTCGCATTGAAAGCAAGGCAAACGATCAAGCTTTAAGAAGATACCAATAACTCCACATGCCCTAAAATTGACGAGCGCCTGATACCTCCGGATTGTGACATAAATAAAACCAGCCCTTAAAATATGATGAGAGCTCATTGAAAACTCATAAAATGCAACCTTTTCATGCGTCTCAACTCAATACACAGTATTCCCTGGTCATATAGCGATTCACATTTCACTAGCTCACGAGATCACATCTTTTTTTAAAGACAAAAATTGGAAAAATCAAACAAGCTTTATTGACACAATATTGGTCGAGACCCAAACATCCATTATTATTACGTTTTATCTTTTTATACACTGTTGGTCCCTCACACTCCAAGTGTAGGAAGCGTTTATACAAGGGTGGGAGAGGACCGCAAGTGTAAGTGGAGGTTTATAAAGGCATGAAATACATTGTTAATATATTGATTTTGCTTCAAGGACTTTCACCCACCACGGGAGGTTCTTATCCCCCCGCCTCCCCCCCCCCCCCCCGAAACATTTGAGGGGAATACAGTATACCAATGTTCAAGTCATATGTGGGAAAGAGGAAACACACTTTGCGTTATGAACATTTTTAAAGCAATATCTCAAAAACTGCTCAAGGCATCAGAAAAATGTATCTCTTCTTTTTACAAGCACACACACAAAAAACACACCCGAATAGTACAGTCTTGGCTTGCTGTGACTAGTTTATACTGGTCCTTGTGACACCAGTCCAACCCGTGGATTTTCGAAGGATGAGCAGATATATACTGGATCGGAGAGTTCCCTTTCTGAGAAAGACAAGAATTGATCGTATTTTGCAATGATTGTTTTTGATTAGTGCCATAGCTGTAACAAAAGACAGCTGAATTTGTAATACACTCTGCCCTCCAAGTGTAAAGGCATACAAAAAGAAGAATGCCATAACCAACCTTATAACATTGTCAACAGTGTCAGCTAAACATATGTAACAATCACAAGAGCTGCAAATGGACACACAGCAATGACAAACTTTCAAAACTAGATCTTTTTGCCAGCTTACGCCACAAAAGCACTTTACACAGAAAAACATTTAAAATGGGAAATTCAAAAACGTTTTTCAAAATATTTGAAGTCTTGAGGGGTCTACAAACTATAACAAGTTATTTTTTTTTGAGAAATTTCTCCAAATTCAAAGGAAAAAAAAACATTCTGGCATCACAAAGACCACGAACAAAAATCCCACGAAGCGTCCTGCCAGCAAGAAACTTTCATACAGTAAACAAAATCTTGAGAACTCAATCCGCTACATAAATTCATATACTTTTTTTTAAAAAGACAACCAGACATAAAACAAAAATGATGAGAACTCCAAGGCTTTGTTAGCTCTGTTTGTATAATACTAAACAATGACGCAGGAAACCCTAGGAAGAATCCCCAATGGCACATTCTTGAACTAGGGTTGTTTAGGGAGTATTTATCTCAACACATTTGACCCAATCCTATCAGAGACGATCATTAAATTCAGATGTTCCGCCTCTCAATTAACCTTAGGGTGTGTTAATTAATTAAACTCAAACTATGAAATACCACAAATGATAAAACCAGTTCCTGCTGAGAGCATTCATGGAGAGAGTTAAAGAGTGAGCAGAGATCTTCACAAATTTAATTCCTCACCCTTGGGTCCCATATCCTCACATCTCCGTCATGTGTGGTGGCAAACAAATTGTTAGTCACTTTATTCCACTTGACTTGGTAGGCACCGGCTAGATAAAAGAAGATATATATGCAGTAGTGATACCCAAACCCAAGGGATAAGAAAAAATTTGACTCACAAGTTCAGAATATTATATCATTAAGATCACTTGTTCATCACTGAAGTCTCATAGAAAAGGCTACCAACAAAACTTTATAAACAAATGTACATATCCACACACTCATGTGCTCTTACATGTGCTATAGACAGTGAAAGATCTTGTCAGTTTGTTAGTGTTTGAGCGCTTAATCAGCTGCTTGCACTGTATGCTTCCCGGGAAGCTGAGAATGTTTCTGAGTGTTCTATGGTCTGCTGGGGTAATAATATAGTGTAAAGCGCATAGAGCTTGCTTTCGAGCGGGGTTATGCGCTATACAAATACTATTTATTATTATTATTATTACTTACATGATAACTATAATGATAAAATAAATAATAACATAGCACATATCCATGCTCTATAACATGCTCTATGCATTTTTCAACTATTTTTATTCCAGCAGACCTTGGAGCACTCAAAAACATTCTTTACTGCCCAAGGAGCATACAGCGTAATCAGCTGATCAAGCACTCAAACATTAACAAACTGTCAACATCTTTCCCCCTCTATAACCAGGTACCCATTCCCACCTGAGTGAAGTGAGGAAAATTCATTTAAAGCGTCTTCCCCAAGGATACAACATTCACACCTGACAGGACTCGAACTCATGACATTTCGATTGAAAACTATGCAGCCTACCCACTACACCACCAACACCACACATGAAATCGTACAAGAGAAAAGAGATGATAAAACAAAATGGAAGAAGTTAAAAGTGGACCGTTAAAAATTCACACCATGAGAACATAATGGTCAGCTTTATTTAAAAATAAGAGCCTTGATATACTATGAGACTTCTCATCTTGATCATTTATAAAAAAGATCAGGCCTTTACAAATTATGGAAAGAGGCCAAATAGCAAAGGATACACGAGCATCTTTAATACTAAAGACTTTGTGACCATTAGAACAACCACTATTAAAATGTCTATCAACAAAAGAGGTACTGAAACTCACAAACAGTTTGGAAAGACTTCACAGGCTTTTTCGAGTCCCTGGGGAGGGAAAAATCATGTAATTAGGTGGAGCAGCAAAACCAAAAGAGGGGAGCATAAGATGAAGATAACAAGTTCCCATATATCTACATTTACATAGACCTGCCACTCTATGAAATCTAAAAATCAGGATTTGGTGAAAAAAACAACGGGATAAGCGACAAATCACCAAGGTGACTGCCAAACAGACTTCAAAATTTTGGTGTTTATAAATATTCATATACAGGCCCTGTGTTTCAGTGTGTGTGCATGTGTGTGTGTGTGTGTGTGTGTGTGTGTGTGTGTGTGTTTACATGTGACTGTTGGTGTGTTGAGTATGTGAGTACTGCATGTTTGATAATGTGTATGTATATATATATTTGCTCGGACGCATAGTACAATTTCAATAATCATTTTTACGACACCTTCAGCTCAAATAGACATACACATTCCACACAGACTAGAGTTGTTACAAGAGAGTAACATACAAGGAAAACAAGGAGGAGAGATGAAGACGATAGATGTTTGATTGGAATAGGAAAGGAGCAAACCACACCAGAGCACCTACCAACATTCCATTATAAGCCTGAGGTTGCATGCATACGAGATTATTTGCTTAAACGTATGTTTGCGTGGATAGATAGCGTAGGGAACAAAAATAACTGCATCCTGAATAAATGCCTCCTTTTAATAGATCACAAAGTCACATCACTAACGCCTGTGTTGCTGTGGTTGGGTAGGCGCTTCCCAGTCGCACGCAAGAGACCCAAGTTCGATTCCCGGGTGGGGAGAAATTTTTTCTTGGCCACACCCTCAAATAGGTGCTCACTCATTCTTCTGAGATGCTGTCTCCCTCTTAGCCCTGGTTGGCTGTAATAAAAAGAGTCAGAAGCCCACCTTTTAAATGATCGAAGTTGTGTAGATGGGGTTAGAAAAGCAATAATATAATTTTTATTTTTAAAAAGTCAAATCGGAATAAACATTCTTTTGTTTAGCAACATCTGCTCTTTGTGAGCACTTTTCGTTTATTCAAATTTCTGTTTTTAATCTTTGTTTATCGATATACACCGGCCTGTATATTCAAATATCTGTCTCTCTACCTTTTCATTGCCCATCTTCATGTCTCTCTGTGTACGTGATTCTTCAATCGCCCACCAGCTGTTCAAACTATGCACTATAAAGCCCAAAATGTGATTACTAAAAGAAATTTGCAGTTTCGTATTCTGTAGTGTTAGGTTGTAGGCACTAAAGAAATATTTATTTTGGCGAAATTCAAATTCCAAATGATGGGAAGAGAAAGAAAAAAGGAAAAATACACAATGTAGACACAATTAATCTCTCTCTCTTTCTTTCTCTCTCTCTCTCTCTCTCTCTCTCTCTCTCTCTCTCTCTCTCTCTCTCTCTCTCTCTCTCTCTC